CTAATGGCTTTCCTTTAAAAATTTGGAAAGCTATTTATCATCTTCCTTCCACTAAGAAATTCCTACTAAATTTATGTTGGTCCATCACATAAAATCTAAACAAAAGTGTGTCTGTAAGAAGCAGAATAAAAACACAAGGCAAGATCTATAAAATCATTCAAAACAAAAATCTGAGATCCCAACACATTATAGAAAAGTTAAATGGAAAACCACTAAAGCCAGTCCAATACTCTCTATAACTGTAGACACAAAATGTATTGTTTTCTTGAAAACAAAGAGGCTTTTGGGGAAATAAATAACTCATCCAAGCTGTTTAAAGGTGACCCAGAAAAAGATGTTGAGAGCAGTTTAGCAAATAAAAATCAAATCAATTCAATTTATCTATATAGCGCCAATCCACAACATGTCATCTCAAGGCACTTTACAAATCAACCAGATCATACTGTCAAATTGATTCAAAGTTTTCTAAAGAAAACCAGCTGATTGCATTGACTCTAATTGACTGATGACTGATTTCAATATAAGTTAATCAATATTTAAGAAAATCTGGGCAAGAAATTATGTAAGTACTTTAATCTACCACATGTACAACTTGAATTAACTTTTTAGAGTTAAACATATTGATATGAAAATGTTACTCTCTGGTGGACTTATACCCTTTGAGTTTTTTTGGAGACAGTATTCTAGGTAAACCATTTGGACAGTAACACTACTGTGGTACAGTTAAATTCTGGCAAGTAAAGCTCACAATGGTAATGTACTGAAATGTGAGTGTTTCACAATCACCAAAATGTGAACCTAAAATAAAATATCTGAAGAAAGATTTTTAGACAAATCTGATCAGTGGTATTAGTGTAACAATGGTGATCAGAACAGGGGCCTGTTTCAGAAAGGAGGTTAAGTGAAAACTCTGAGTTTGTTAACCCTGAAATGAGGGAAACTCTGGGTTTTCTGTTTCAGAAAGGGAGGTAAGTTAAACCTGAGAAAGCAGAGTAAGTCAAGCTCGTTTCTGAAAGAGAGGTAACTAGAGACTGACACGGGAGTGGATTTTCACTCCTGTCCCGTCCCACTCCCACAGAAAAAAATGGTGTCCCGTCCCGATCCCGGGCCAGAGTAGAAATCTAAATCCTGTCCCGTCCCACTCCTGGTGAAATTACTCCCACTCCCATCCCGCTCCCATTCAGAATGACTCCCGCTCCTGCAGCACCCCCATTCTTGTTGTTTTTGAGCGCGGGTGAAAAACTCAGAGCGGAAGTTACTATTGGTTTGCTCCCGCTCCCGTCTGCTCCCGTTAATGTTTAATCCTGTACCGTCCCAATCCCGTGATCGTTACTAATACTGACTCCCATCCCACGGGAATCCCGTGACCCATGGGATTCCCGAAAAAATGTCAGTCTCTAGAGGTAACTTATACTCAGAGTCAGTTACCATGGCAATTTACTCTGTGAACCTAACCTGGTCGGGAGCAGGTTTTCTTCAGAAAATCCAGAGTTTATTTTGGTCTCCTCCCCTTTTTTAAAGAGGAAGTGGTGTTTAAACACCTCATTGATTCTTTGGGGACATACAGTATTCATTGCACACATTTCAGTCACGTAGAGTGCATCAAAGGGAATGAAATGGCATGTCCTTTTATGGATGATCCTGTTTGTAAAGCCAGGTAGCTACTCTACTCCCATGATGTGCTCAAGTCTTACCTGCTTGAAGTATGTTTTTATATTTCAATTTCAGCTGCTGCCATGTTCTTTTGATGCCTGCAGGATTGCACCTATCCATGAAAACTAAATTAGGTTTAATAAAATACTGTTCTTCCAGTTTCACCTCTGATATTATAACAGTTGGGTAAGTTACTCTAAAATAGTTCTTAATTACTAACTACAAATTTTATCTTCAACAAGTCTAATTAGATTAATGTAATAATTACTGTCTCTAGAAAGTATTGGTCTACTTACTAATTTGTTTTACTTACTTATTAATTACTTTCTAAATCCCAAATCAACCTCAACCACTTGAACAATACAAGGAGAGACAAGAAACTGCACTTCTAATGCTTTCAAATAAACAATATTCAATTGCATGAATTAATCTTAAATTGACCAAAGTGTGTAACTAGAGGGAGAAAGTTCAAATCAAAATATACCTTTTAAAAATTTGATATTAAATCCACTATTTTTTTATAGTCTTTAATTTAATTACAGTATTTATATGACTTAAAGCTGCAGTCTGTAACATTGAGGAGAGAGCAGACTTCAACTGAAAATTTGAAGAAAAACAGGTTTCACACCACTCCCCCACCCTCTCTGCTTCACTGCTTCACTCAAGCTCCACCCCTCTCACAGCATCTGCGCGGCTAGGGGGGGGGCGGAAGGGGGGGGGGGGGGGGGGGGGGGGGCGGGATTCAGCGTGTGTGAGCTGTGATTGACACTCCATCAGACGCTCCTCTGGCTGTGATTGGTTGTTTTGACTCGTCCCGAATTATTCTTTCCAGATTGAAATACAGGCAGTAGGCGATACCAATTGAAGCAGTTTTTTTCACAGGTTACATATCACATGTACTGCTGTCTGGGCATAGGGACAGTTTTAGCCAATATGACAAAAAAGTGATTTTTAAAAACTTACAGACTTCAGCTTTAAGTAACTTTATTCATTACACCCAACACTGTATAAAAGTAATTAAAATGTAAACTTACGCATTGACTCTAGCAGCTATTTTCACCCAAGCTAACTCTCTCTCCTTCGCCGCTGCAGCCGTGTTGCTTTTTTTTTAAATACATGTTCAAATTCTGCATATGCTTGCATAAGCACATCCAGTTCTGCTGGTGAGAAATATGCACACCTTTTTTTGTCTGACGCTGTTGCCATGGTGACTCGTAATATCTGTGCTCCATTGAGTTGATTGAACTAACTCATTTCAGCTGTTCAGAAAAACTCAGAGTTTCCAATCTCAGGATAAGTCAACTCAGAGTTCAAGTTTTAACTCAGAGTTGGTTAAACTTCCTTATTGAAACAGGCCCCAGGAGCGCAATATCTTTACTTCGATGCTTTAGTGTTTTAACAACACTTCCAGAGATTGCTGATGTGATGGATCCAATGGCTGCTGAATTTAGACACAGTGTTTCCAGAATAAGTCATCTTCAGAAGGGGCAAGTAATTCAAGCTGGAGGTTTTACTCTGATTTTCCAATTCTGCTTTGTGTGTATTTACATAAAAATAAAAATCTCCTCAAACTCTGTCACTAACTAGATTTGACTTGTTCTTATTTTTTCAGTTTTATTTTCATTTTAGTGGTTGTATCATTGAAAAACTATATAATTTATATAATTATAAAACTATCATAAACCACAGGCGTGGGCAGATTTGAAAATAAAATGTGAAAAAAATATTTATATTTAAACACGTCATATATATATTTAAACACTTTGGAGATAATAAAATATATATATATGTTTATATGTTGCCAAACATATTCAGATTCAAATCAGGTTTATAAAGCCTTGCAAAGCCTTTTATTCTGATTCCCAGGCTGCCCCAGTAATTTAACCTTTAAATTAAATGAGGAATAGTTGAAACCTGAGTCAGGCAGTGGGATCCATGTCCAGGACAAACCAGCCTTTGACAACTACAGAGGAGCTTTTTTTCCTCCTACAGATCTGAATCACATGAAACTCTGAAAATTAGAGGGTCCACATTTTTGGGTGACTTGTGAGTATTTTCTATGAGTGATTCAGGCTCATTTTTGTGCCACTAATACTCAGAAACTTCGCATCCTGTATCTTTCATACTGTCTTTTGCGTGAAAAATGTTTTCTTCCTATGGTTTTAAAATTCATACGTTTATGTTGCATTCATGCAGCGTTTTAAGGGGAGAACACAAAACAAAAATACACATCTAAATGTTTGCACTGTGACTTGCCTGACGGTTCTCCAAACTCCTGACATCTCACCAGCTGCGAGCGATGAGATCCGCTTCACTACGCATGCGCCGGGGTTTATCAAAAAGCGTCATTGGATTACATATAAAAAAGCAAAGGCATAAATATCGGTAAGCAGAGACTGCAGTTGCTTAGGGGCCAGTTAGGCTGCAATGACGAGCCAAATTATACATCTTAAATGTTCTTCTTACAGCGGCGCTGAAATGCAGTGGAAGCAACCAGAGCCACCTTCCTACAACTCATGGGTCCAAATTGTAAGGGAATTATACCAAATGAAAAAGATAACATACTCGTTAAGACTCCAAAAAGACCTTTTCAGCCAACGCCGGGGTCCTGTGAAAGATTTAGTCAAGTAAACAAGTTTCACAACTCAATTTTTATTTTATTTTTTTCTAGATTATGTTACATAGACCTGCGATGAGGTGAATTCTTGTGCTAGGTTTGTATGATGAAGCTGAGACCACAATTATAATGCTGAAACTGTAAATTGTCATGCTGGGACGGTTAATCTATGGTAAAATTTCACACTGTAAAAAACTGTTGTCATTTTATGTTGTGTGTTTGCTCTGTTTTAAAATCAATAAAATGTAAAAAAAAAAAAAAAAAAAAAATTTATAGCTATTTAATTAGTATTAATGCGTGATTTCAATAACTCAGAATTTTCATTCTTCTTTCAGGCTTTGCATATGTTTACAGGGCAAGAAGAACCAACCCTTGAGAAAAACTCATACACCAGAACTTAAATAATATTTTTATTATGAGACATAAGCCGTGTAACCACATTCATTAAGGGGTTTGTTTAGAGAGGAATGCACCTTTTTGGCTTGAATCAAAGACTGGAGTGCTACAATAGAGGTCATGGAAACTAGGATCAATTTAAAGGAGTTAAACTTTGCTGTAATTGATGTGACTGACATTTACGGAGACAATGGCGAGAGTGGAAGGATATTGTTGACTGAGAACACTACAGGGTTGGTGCAGGGCTGTGGTTTCCATAACAAAGCATTAAAAAAATTCCTAATTTATATTACTATAAAAGATCTATTCTGGGATTCTTTTTTTCAACAAGGCGATACCTGTAATTCCCTTTAAAATAAAGCGACAACGGAAGTTAACATTTTGCTTTCTAAATAATAAAATATATAAAAATTGTTTTATAGTTTGTTGCCTAAAAAGAACTGAAATCATGGACTTAAATATGCAGAGAATCTCTAAACAAACACAAATGCATGCGGTACAGACAGGAAAGATAATTTATACATGAGGACAAAGGATGACAGAGAAATGGGCCTATTTTGGGTATTTCACACACACAAACACACATTTTATGTATAGAGTGCTGGTAGGGATAAAAAAGTGTTTCTGTCTTTGGTGACGTATTGATGAAGAAGGTCAAATCTATAAATACTTTGTAGTAAATACAAAAAAGATATGTTGCATACATACAAACCTAATGAAAAGACAATCCTGCTGCCTCTTAAAAAGCCAACTTTTCCCATGGCATCAACTCATTATTTGGATTGATACGACAGGTGCATGAATAATTAAATACAAATGTAATCAAACAACATAACACAATATGTTGAATTAAAGGAAATGAGGGAAGCTCACATAACTATATAACTGAAGTACAAGTGTGGCAGCTTTTTGTTTAAAGCCTTTTTATTACAAAAGGAAAATAAATAGCTGCCAAAAATAATACTTGTAACAGAAATCAAAACCCTCACCTGTTTCTTTTGGGACAATAGCTTATGTCTGTCAATATATGCTACAACATTAAATAAAGGTGAAGTTTAAAAAAAACTAACCTTTTTTTCTTCTAACTTGAAATATATGGCAGCTGAAAACTAATTACCCTCTTATACATTGTGCGTTTAATAATTATAATCATAACCTTTCATGACGTCATGTTTACTATGAAAGTGCCAAGAAATGATAACATCTCATCAAAAAGGTGCTTCGATGCGGGTCTTCAGGAAATATTAGAACCCAACTCAAACATTTGGATTGTAGAAATGGCTGAAGAGCCAACATTTCCAAAATCATGCTTTGACAAACACATAAACCAAGACTACCTGGATGCACCAAACCAACCAGGCAGCAGTTGGAAAAAAAAAAAAAAAAAAAAAAAACAGACAGTAAGGCATTCTGGAGAGGATTGTCTGTTTAGTTTCTGTCTCCATCAGTTTTCCTTCACTTCCAGATAACGGATAAAGAAAGCATAAATACATTCACACTAATTTGTTACTGCTGTGGCTGTTCGAAAGCAACACCAAGCTTGTCGTAAATCTCCTTCAGCAGCAGTAGAGCCGTGTCCTCAGATTCCCTAAAGGAGAAAAAGATCCTTTCTTTTAGTGATATTTTTTAAATAACAAAAAGAAGATTCAAGTAAAGATTTATTTAATTTATTAGACACTTACCAGTAACAGAGGTGAGACTGGATGGCAAACAAGTATTCATTGAAGCTCTCAATAGGTTTTTCCTGGAGCACATAGTCAATCCTGCGTCCCCCGTTCAGCATCCCCATTTCTATCTCAGGCTGATCAGTCTGCTCTGCTGACCCTGAACATTCAGCTTCTGTGTAGATCCCTGCAGCAAAAGAGGTTTTACATGCAGGCATCAACACTTTACAGGCCTATTGTATAGGATAATACAGATAACACTTGGGTAAGCGGGGGAAAAAAGACTGCTGTCTACACCTATTAAGGTTCAAAAGAAAATCTCTTCAAGAAAATAAAAATAAAAACTTGTTATTATTGCACAATCTATTTCTGAGATCAGTGTCTGAATTATTTCTGTTTTAGAGCTATCAATGATGATTTTAGTCTGTTAGATGCCTCAGAATAATATTTTATATTTTCTTCAGCAATATACTCTAATGTTACAAATATAACTTATACACTTGAGACATAACATTTGTGTAGATGTGGAACTAAAAACATGATACCGTATTCAAATGTTTCTAAATAAGTAGTTGAGTCTCATTTGCAAGCTATTTTTGTAGCAAAAAAGGAATATATTAAAGGCTTTTATTGTCCATCATTATTGTGCAACTTGAAGATCCCATATAAGTTTTAGATGGTACACAAGGAAAGAAAGTATAACCATTGACTTACAGCATCAAAGCAAAACTTCCTCCATGTTCAGGAAGGTATGTTTTAAACTGTTAATCATCTAAACTCAGATTTGTCATTGATTATCTGTTATTCTCTTTTAAAAACTTAGTCTATTTGTTGGAAAGCAGATGTTTTTGGGTGAGAGTTTTCTGTCCCAGTCGTTTATCTTCCATCTCCTATCAGTGAGCTAAAAAATAAAATGGAGGCTGGAAATTGTGTCTCTACAAAAACAATGCATGAAACAGCTCAGCTCTGTCCGCTATCTAATCTCCAGAGAATCGTATGAGTCACTCCTTTTATCCTACCGACCTTTGTACATGAGGGAATATAACGATCCAACAAGCTTTAGATTTACAACACACTAGCTAATTAGTGTTCTTTAAGCATCAGAGAAGCAACTGTGACTACAATAATAAAAGGCCTCTAAAGCATTATATGGTCAGAGAGAGAAGTTTAAATACTTAAATCTTGCCTCTAATTCAGAATAACTAATAAGCTACTAGGGTTCCTACATTCGGTTGCTCCCATATTCAGGGGGCGCCACAGAAAATCATTAGGACTTGTTTACAGACTTGGCAAAGCTTTACACCTGATTCCCTTCCTTAAAAACCTAGGATTTGAACCTGGGTCTCTTGCATTACAGTAAAAGACTTTAACCTTAAAAGATGGGGACAAATTGGAAAGGAATGAAAGTAATGTAGAGAAAAGTCTCTGTAAATTCTCAAAATGGCAATAATTAACTGATTATGCTTTATCTTTTAAATAGCCAAATATTATTTCTAACATTTTTATCAGTATTTTTTTTTTTTAACTGACCAAATCCATAGGGGTATTTTTATTTAATTTTATTTTTTTGCTATTTACCACCTTTTAGGGTAACAAGTGGTTTTTAAACTGGATCTAAAATGCTAAAAATAACCTTATATGTTAGTGTTTGTTACGTTTAGGATTTTTTTTCTTTTTCCACAAAAAAAGAAGGTACTAAAGTCCACAAATGATGTAACAGATGTTGAAACATTTGGTCAAAGTAGTTCACACACAATAAAAATAGTGAAATCAGCGTTCATTTTAAAAATCAAAAATTCAATTTTTGACTTTCTGTTGCGTCATAAATCACAGGACCTAGGAATGATGAGATCTTCAATTGTTCTGGAAGGTTCAAGATTTATAGTTAGGAATTGATGTGTAACTACATTGCTTCTGGGAAAAGTCTGGAGTTTTCGATGAAAACAATGTGTTGGAAAGCTACACTAGAAATGTGCAGCCTAGAGCAGGGCTCTCAAACTGCTCTGCTACTTTCCTCCACTTCAACTTCCCTGAATCAAATAAATAGGTCATTACTAGGGTTGTAAAAGCATTGTTTTATTCAGGTGTGTTCGACCAGGGAAACATTGAGATTCCTGCACAAGAGCAACCAGAGCTGAAGAGCAGACAAGTGACATGAAAAGAGCAGACAAGACTCTGGATCAAGCCTACCTGAGCGGGGTATCATTTATTTTTAGACCAGATTAGTTTATTTGAAACAGGCCATGTGTTTTTTTTTTTTAATTAGCAACTAAAAGCAAGCAACATGATAAAAAAAATAACAATCATCAACCCCAAACAGGAACAGTATGTTAAATTGTCATAATGTATAAATTTATCTTCGCTGAGTTTGAACATTGCTTTGACTGAGCTTGTTTCAACTTCTACTCTTTTACTTTTGGAGATAAATCGGAGATGATTCACTGATCCATGTCATTATAAAACACCCTAAGCTTAAGAAACAGTAACCTTATACAGTTAAATTGTTGATTCAGCAGGAATAAGCACGCCACCCATGTGATGGGACAAACTGTAAAAGTTGTGAATCATGTGGAGTCATTATTTATTGAATTACCGTCTTAGTGAAAAATTAAGTTCTACATAAAAGCTTGGTAATAAGCTATTCATTTGATTCAGGTGTTCAGCTCTGGGCTATTCTACAAGAGGTTAAAACTGGATAAAATATTGTTTAACCATTGTTGAGGCAAAAAGTTACTGCCAGCTGTTAACTGGAGGATGAGCATCCTTAAAGATCACAAAGAACCTCCCCTAAAATAGTTATTACCTCTAGAAAAGGGCACAAAAAGTTGTACAATAACTAAACTAAAAATGCACATATGTTGTGTAGAATCACTGTTCTGTAGGAGACCATAACAACAAGAAAGAAAACATTTTAAGAGATTATATAAAAGGTTTGTAATATTGATGATGATTATTTTGAGAAGCCAATTGTGAATGTAAAGTTTAAAGTATTTACTCATTAACAATGAGGAATATCATGTTGCATAGTCTGTAAGAACCCCTTACAATCTAATAGACTTAGTTGACCTTCAGAGTGTGCATAATACACATACACATTTATGGTTTTCCCATCTATTTAATACAATCCAACCACACAGGTAGAGACTTGTAAACCCTATATTAACAGGTGAATATTCAACTTTCACACCTCATGAAACATATTATGCAAATAATAAGCAACGACAAAGCTTCCAGGGACGACAACAGGAAGAAAAAGTGACTGTCTTTTTTTCCACAGAATTGCAAACCCTGATTTTCATCTAATGAGCTAACAGTTTGTCCACATTAATATAAATGTGCACCGTGTAATTAAAAAACATGGGTAAGATTGTGAAGTCACACCACCAGCTAAATAACATTAAATAAAAACCACAGAACTCACATAAAAATGTGCTCTAGGCCAGACGTGTCAGTGGTTTGTTGGGTTAGTGGGAATGAATTCAGCCAATGAGAACTTACAGGTGGTAAGGCATGAAACAGCCTAAAGGGGATTTCAGTAAATTAAATCTTCAGTTAAAATGACAACTTGTTTAGCAGGTGGTAAAGTCATGGGGCATGAGGGAGGGGAGCACATACGCAGCGAGAGCCTGTGGCGATGATGAAGATCATTACGCAAGAGTCATCCTCTGTAAGCGTGCCAAGGTAAATCATTGTAGATTTAATTTTCAATTAAGCTTTATCTTCCCATATCTAACAGACTAACACAATGCCATAGTGTTAATTAGATTTTTGGTTCAAAAAACGATTATTATTGCTTGTCCTTATTAATCAGACTCTGATTAAAGTGAGAAAGTGGAAGTCAGATGAATTATCATACATAATTCATTAATAATCCTGACTTAACTTTTAGCTAATGCTTCTGAATGGTCTTTGGTCACTCCAGTATTATAGTCCCTAGATTTATAAGTTTGTCTTCTCTATTAGTAGTAGTTTCTGCTGAGATTTTAAAGTCATGAGGCGGCGAAAATAAAGCAAAATAAAACTAAAAACAGTGCAGCATGCATAGGAATAAGAAGGATGTAACGGCAGTGGGTTGGACACCATTTTGTGCATGTCAACTCTCAGAGAAAGACCCCAAAGATAAACTAAGTCAAATCCAGTGAGTATTTTTTTCACTACCTTGTTCTTCCTGTGGGGTTGTGTCATTCGTAGTTTCTCGCTCATCCACTGGGGGCAGTGCTGCAACTGGTAGTCTGGTGAAGGACAGCCAAGCTGTCCGCAATGATCCCAAAACATTGTTCTTTAAATCCATACTCATTCTGGTTAAGCTGTCTTTCAATTCTACAACAGAATAGGAATTAAGCATTAATATCAAATATTTTCTTCCCACTGTACAACTGAACAAACAGAAAAAATCTACGATCCTACCAAGATGCATCCTCTTTCGGCCTTTGTGGTGGGGTATAAGCATTGGCTCCAGATCCACCTCCGAAACAATCATGGGCTCGATCCGATAGGCAACTGGGTCGTACTAAAGAGGAATTCAAACAGTCAAAGATGAGTGCATTTCATAAGATCACAAACAACAGAACACAGTGAAGGAAGGCAGAATCTGAGATCAAATCAATCCTGAAAAGAAACCCGATACTCACTGGATGGTAGATGTTATAAAAACTCTTGCAGGTTGGGAATGAGTAGTTTGGATCAATGCGTTTCAGTCCTCGTACAGTCAGGAACATTCCGATCGGAGAACCAAAAGCAAAGAACGTCTGAGGGTAAAACGCCAGCTGAGGGTAATCGACGGACACCTGGGTTTGTTGGATGGACGGATAGGAAATGAGAGCTGCAGTGAGAAGTTAGCTAAAGTCAAATTTTAAAAATAATTGCACGTCATTTAGAGCAGATGTGGATTCTTATCTTCTTCATTTACATTGGTGAATGAAGAGATGGCCACCCATGCAGAGTTGATACAAATGTGTGAACACAAATACAAGATTGTTTTTTTCTCAAGCCTTCACTTCAATGTAGTGGCCAGAACTGCACTTTATACAAAGGAAACATCAAGTCAAACACATCAAGACACCAAGCCTGAAGAGAAAGTGGTCACCATGTGAGACACACCTGTCCCTTGGCTATGCCTCCTTTGGGCTTTCCAGGCAAGCAAGGAAAAGGAAAAGAGCAGGAACGGTGACGCAACGAAGCTCACCTGCACCCCCCCATAAGCAATTATACACTGTCTGTGAGCCTGTGTTGTACCTGTCCGATGCCAACATCGAAGTATTCATAGTCCACAGCGCTGGTGATAGAAGGCTCTCTGTGGAAGAGGGGTTGCTGTGCTTCTGGTCCTGAGGGCTGGTTACCCTCACTGGTCACTTGAGGTGGAGCAGACTCAGAGGTCTGATTCCCCGCTGCTGCCTTACAGTCCTATTTATGATATATAAAGAAAACATCATCAGATTTATCAAATAATGGCAAAAACAGAGGAGTATACAGTGTTTTATACACTATACTTGTTTCCTCAAGATATTGGTTAAACAGGGTTGAATCTTAAAAAAAAGAGAAAAATACTAAACCCTGAATTTAATTCATGTCTGACCTGTGGAAGCCTCTTCTTTTTGATGTAGTGTAAAATCTTCTTTCGAGGTCCGAGAGGAATTCCTAAATCTCTAAGATCACTGTCTTGGCAGAGAGCCTACAAGAGAAACACATTTGTTTCACTTTGTACAATCTTTATCTCTCAGATCTATATTTACAGTTGTATTGTGCATATGTGGAAAAGATTTTCATTCAAAAACAGTCAGATTTGTTTCCACTGTATTCCATGCAATCCAAACATCTATCACAACCTGACAATGAGTGAAAAGAAAAAGGAAACTAAAAAACTGATTATTTGCTCACATGCAGTACTGCGACTGCACAACTACAGGCACCGCAGGCATGGATGGACTGGGAATCCAGGGATGTTGGCCATTCTCATTCATTACTCATACAGGTTAAACATCTTGTTATCTCAAGAAATCAATAACTGTTCTTGTGATAACGAGATAATTATCTTGTTATCTCCAGAAAACAATTAATGGTTTAACCATGATAAAGATAGTTGTGTCATTATCTCGAGAAGGCAAAGGAAAAAAAAAATGTTGAGCACGACCATTCTCGGCTTCCGTATCTCAGAAAATTAGAACATTGTGAAAAAGTTAAAAATTGGAAATTCATGGTGGCACCCCATCAGCTAGTTAGCACCTTTAAAAGTTATCTGCACCACTAAATACCTTTTAAGTCTGGGTTAGTAGAATATATAATCATAAAGAATTTTTTACCAATTGTTGAGTGTGTAGAAATGGATTTAGTATTAAATAATCCACCATTTGTCTTTATTAATCTTATGTTAATAGTCTACATCTAGTATCTAAATCTATAATCTAAGATAACCAAAAATATGTCAGTTTATTTACAAAAACTTTTGTGAAGTACCTATTATTTTGAATTAGAACTAAAATTAATTTGAAATGTTTCATTATAATCTGCATTTTATGCATTTGTGTTAGATCACCTTTTACTTTCATTCTCAAGAGTAATGTGTATTTAGAACGTGTATTTACAGTGGTTCTGTAAAATCTTCAGAGGTTGTCAGAGAACCAACAATAAATATAGGGAACACAGCAGGAAAATCAGGTAACAGAACAACTGATGCTAAAATCTGACCTGAACGGAAGAGCAAGGAAAATAAATTATGATAGGTTATGTATAAAGTGTGCCAAAATGTGTTTAACTTTCTATTGGAACCCGTTTTTTGTTGAGAGACATGTTGAAATCCATAAACCCGAACCCTTTCTATATATTCACTCAGGCATAAATGTGGTTAGTCAACCAAATCTAAGTAAACACAATGATCTCTGTAATTATAATGAGTCAAAACAAGGAAATGTTGTAGGCAAATTTTTTTGCTAGACGCTATGCTTATTACCAGTGCTTCCATGTCGACATTTTCTGCCAGGAGTGTTCCCAGGTACTGTTGGAGGCCCAGTTTTGTCAGAGTCTGCTCCAATGTATCGCTGTTAAAAGAAGACTGTTCACCCGAAGATACCTTAAAAAAAAGAAAAGGCTTCAACTGTGAATATGCTTTTCAAAATAAAATATATGATACAATGATGTGGTTAACAGAAAAGGCAAAGTCCTACTCTTCCTGGTTTGGATCCATCCTTCTGATTGGTTAGCAGGTCGAACAGAATCAGAGAACCTGAGTAACACAAGACAAGATGAACCTAAGTTTCCAGCTTTTACCTGCTGGTTAATGTTTCTGAATCTGCATTTGAAAGACTAACCCAAGCTATGTCCTACTACTGAAACTGCTCCATGGAACTCAGGGTGTCTCTGCTTAAACAGGGCATACAGCCGGTTAATTTCTGAGGCCACTGTGTCCACTATGGTCTGGCAGTAGGTGGGGCTGTTGTAGAAAAATAAGTCCAGCAGAGTATCATTGGTGAAATGCCTGAGGCGGCTGATGCTAGGTAGAGTGATCCTCTGGATGTCCCTGAAATTTGGGGAAGGAAGGAGAAAATACAAACAAGAACAGAAAAGTTTATTTTGCAGCTTAGTGGAATAAAAACTGTTATATTTTTTTCCCCCCATTTTTTTGTCTTATCTATACGTACTCATCCACACCGGTGGCGTCACCATGCAGAGCACTGTGCCAGTTGACGGGAAGGAATTCAACTCGACCGACATGGCCTTCCTGCTGAGAACGCTTGTAGTGGGTGGCCAGGAGCGACAGCGAAACACTCCTGAAGTCATTTACTGAAGATTTGTAAAAAAAAATTAAATGGAGTCATTAATGCACATCTCACCAAAAAAACGGAAGTGCGATCAAATGCGCTAACTCACCACACTGTATAATGGATCTAAAGCGTAAATCACATGCAGGACCAATGCCGTGGACCATGAAGACCAAGTGATCCACTTTCTCCGGTTCACCTGAAAACAAAATGACATAATTAGAGAAGATCCTTCATACCAAGCTTATACTCCATTATGATCTGGCAGAACAGAACACATGCTTACCATCTGGTATTTCTACAAAGATATTTTCTACCCCCCTCTTGACTGTGCGAGGCCGTGTCTGCTCTGACGGAGAGGACACCCAATCATCCTGCATTCCAAATGGCTGATAATGCATTATCAGCTAAGAAAGAAAGAAACAAAAAAACTGTTTTGAGGATCGACCCCTGCAGCCTATTTAGGAATCTTTTGTTGCCATTGCTCAAAGCATTTAACACTTCTTTGTGGGTTATTTTTGGTGTGTTCCACTCCTCATTTCCAGCTGTGATATGTCCAGGGACTTTCCATTTCATAATTAGCATCCATTCCTTTTTGGGTTTATTGACCTGTTAGGAGTCTGTTTCAATGTTGCAGAGTCCAGTTCCGCTTCAATTATATACACTTCTCTAAAAATAAAGGGAACACTGCTACATCTGAATGAAAGAAATATTATCTTTAATTACTTTATTCTTTACAAAGCTGAATGTGCTGAGAACAAAATCAGACAAAGTTCATCAATGTAAATTAAATTTATTAATCATTTGGTGAATGCAAATGGAGACCTGAATTTGGAGCCACCCGCAAAATTAAAGTGGAAAAACACACTGCAGGCTGATCCAAGTTTTATGTAATATCCTTAAAACAGATCAAGATGAGGCTCAGTATGGTGTGTGGCCTTCAAGTGCCTGTATGAACTCCCTAAAATGCCTGGAAATAATCCTGATGAGGTGGCAGAGGGTTTCCTGAGGGGACTTTCTTCTAGACCTTGACTAAAGCATCCACCAACTCCTGGACAGACTGTGGTACAATATAACATTGGTGGAATGATCGTGACATGATGTTCAAGCTGTGCTCAATCGGAGTCAGGTCTGGGGAACGGGTGGCCCAGTCCATAGCTTCAAGGTCTTCATCTTGCAGGAACTGCTGACACACTCCAGCTACATGAGTTCTAGCTTTGTCCTGCATTAGGAGGAACCCAGGGCCAACCGCACCAGCATATTGTCTCACAAGGGGTGTGAGAATCACATCTCGGTACCTAATGGCAGTTATGCTACCTCTGGCGAGCACATAATGGACTGCGTGGCCCTCCAAAGAAATGCCACCTCACAAAATGCTCTTTTGTGGCCAGCTGGAGGCCATTTTGCGGGGCTCTGGCAGTGCTCCTCCTGTTCCTCCTACAGCCTCCTCCGCACCTCCTAATTTACTGGCCTGTCTCCTGGTAGTTCCTCCTGCCTCTAGACACTACGCCAACAGACACAGCAAACCTTCTTGCCATAGCTCGCGTTGATGTACCATCCTGGATGAGCTGCACTACCTGAACCACTTCTGTGGGTTGCAGAGTTCGTCTCATGCTACCACGTGTGTGAAAACACCACCAAAATTCAAAAGTGACCATAACATCAACCAGAAAGCTTCATGGTTGGTATGAGATTCTCTCTCTGTGACGCTGCATTTGTTTTTTTGTAAAATGTGTCTTCTGTTCTGGTGTCCAAATAATTAAACTTTAGACTGATCTTTCCAAAAATAATTATTGCAGAACTAAACTATCTGCCAATCTTAAGTCTTTATTGTTTTTCATAAAGAGTAACAGTTTCTTCCTTGGACATGTCCCATTAGAAATAAACTTAGGTGGAAACGTTCTGGTTGTACAGGCTTACACTTTCACATTACTAATAAAACTTCACAGTTTTTTATATAATTTTGTTTTTATCATTTTGTTTTTTTTTTACTCTCAGTATTGATAAAAGTCATAATAAACACCCATGTGTCCAACATGTTAATAAAAAAAACACAGGCATATAGCAATAAGCAGTACATCATAGGATCATAATTACATCCCTACGAGGTGTAGCATGAAACCTCTGTGACTGAGGAGTAGCGAGCCAGAAGAACACAAGTTGAGGTTTGGAAAAGCAGAGGAAGGATTGGTTTTCTAAGCTGAAAACCACAGCAGCAGTATGTGAGCACTTTGGATTCCATCTGAGTGAGTGCGATGAATCGCTTAACTTGTGCTTGTATGTCGGATTTGCTAATAAAAAGCAGCCATTAAACACAGCAAAACAACAAACACATATCTGAACCTATACCATAAACATCAGCAAATTGCCGGCAAATATATATATGAGAAATGGAGCTGTTTCAGTCTACCTGACAGTCAGTAATCTGTGGAGCATACAGTCAGAAACAAAATACAAAAATGCTAAATTGTGCAAAATCACAGACAGTGTAGCTTGTGAAGCTCAAAACAGATGCTGCTCTTTAGCATCACTGAGAATCAGGCATTTTGAAAATTGTTGCAAACAGATAATCCTATGCAGAATCTTTCTCGTGAACAGAGGTTCAGGAGCAAACCTCACCTTAGGGTTGTGCAAGATGACAGTCTCTCCAGTGGGAAAGTCTAGTTTCTTTTTCCATTCATCTAAGGTCACTGCTATCATATAGGCTTCCTGTAAAAAACACAGCAAAGTGGAGAATGATTATAGGTGGAGAGAAATTATAGGTATGACAGCAGCAAAAGTCAGGAAGTAAATCAAGTTTGTAGGAAAGATGTATATAAAAGCTAAGAATACATTTCAGGCTACCTCCAGACTTTGGCTGAATTCCTCAGAGTAAGGCAGGAATCTTGTGTCCTTATCTCCTTTGTAAAACCAGGTACAGCGGCGAACCTCTGCAGGAGCTTGATCCCAATAGACAGCATAGAGCTTCCTCTCCTTGACGTGTACATCATAGCGCTCGCCTTCCACGGCGACCACCACATCCTCCCCCTTTTCTCTCACTGCAAAACAATAGGAAATTAGCTTATGTGGGATAATGTTAACATTTCTTACAAAAGGTTAAAAAATAAGTATTTAGGTGATTTTTGTATGTTAATAAATATGTTAAATAATGGTCAAAAGAAAAAAAAACAATTTAATTGAATATTTAGAACAGCAGCATAATTGTACAACAGGAACTGAATCTACATAACAGAATAGCTCCATACTTAATTCTACTGCATACCCCTCAGTTAGTAAATAACTACTATATAGTCTCTAAAGTCGTTTTCATATTACAATTAAATTGGAAAAATTGTGCTTTGTAAGATAAATTCACTCAAACACTGTTCTTAATTATGAGTAACATCTGTTTGTTTTAAATTTTAGACTGGAAAAACCAGAGTGAAATCCCAAGCCAACTTAGGGATTGTATAATATAGAATGCATTTTAATCACTGAATAAATTTTTCAAAGTAAATTAAAAACTTTAAAATACTGTAAAAACCTCAGACATGGCAGATTTTGGGCTCATCAGGAGCCATAATTCGTGTGGTCACAATTTCACCGTGTGTTCGTAATCCATAAATCCACCTGATATATTTTATTTTTAGAAAGCATGTGATAAATATATGTATAGGAAAAATATGTCATATCTGTTCACATATAACATATGTAACCACCTGTCATTGTCAGATTTTTTTGGAGAGCATATTTGCATTATAAACACAAAAAGCGCTAACTTTTTATAATAAACTTTGCATAACTATTATATAGGTTGACATTCAGATATTTTGAAAAATAATTATTTCCTTTACAGGGAAACGGATGGGAAATATGGGAAATGACTGATTTTAAAGTTAATGTTCTGTATTTTTTTCTTACATTTTAATTAGTAAAAACATCAGCTTTTATCTCTCATATTAGCTTAATGGGAAACCTTAAAGTTCCCCAAAAGCACACCGTAGTGATAGTTGGGATTCCTCACTGCACTGTTTTAGTTTTGCATTTCAAAACTGAACAGATCTAACATAGAAGTCCTTATTTTGGTTTCACTGATAAACATCAGCCTGTGCTGAGCTTAAAACACTCCTAAATTATTGTGTTCACATACATGCCAAACTGAAAGGGGCCAATATATGTATCCGAAATGCTGTTTTTTTTAGTGGCAAATGAAATTAAATTTAAAGCTGAAATAGAAATGATTTGAAAATCTAAAAATAGGTATGTTAAACTGCTGATACAGGATTTTGTCCAAACAAGTAGCGAAAAATGCCTTAAAGCGTTGGGGGATGGGTGTCAAATGGACTTTAAGTCAAGGATCATAGTACTGCTTTTTGGCTTATACTTTCAAGAGTAATATGCTCACAACAAAGGAAAAAAAACTCTAGTCTTACTCTACTGCTCTAGCATAACTCAACTTTAAACAGCTCATAGTATTTATATTAAACAATCTAAGATAACTATTTGTTCTTACCAGCATTGCAAACGTTTTCTAGTTTGTCAGAGTCCTCTCTGCTGAAGGGATGCCAGGAAGTGCAGTCATCTGCCCGGCGGCAGAAGAACCAGTGAGGCTGCACCTCTTGGTATGGAGGTGGAACCGATTCCATGTCAAGCATCTCAAAAGAGGATGTAGAGGAAGGAGAAGCTTCATCCAAAACAGGAGAAACCTAAAGAAACAAAACAATATGAATAAAATCTAAAAACTTTATCTCCTCCTGATGTTAGATATAAACCACAACTATGAAATTAAAACAAATACCTCCTACCGATGGTTATTTTGTGTCTCCCCTTTTACGGAGCGGCTCACTGATCAACACTGCAGTTACTTCCATGAGAACAGCCCGAACATTATCAGCAACCTCCAACTAAAATCGTCAGACCATTACATAAAGCAAAGGGCAGTCAGGAAACAAAAGATCAGACCACCTCTGGGTCAATGAACAAAGCCTTGTTGTATTTTTCCCTCGTCTACAAGCTTCGTCTTGTCTGTTCTGCCGACTCGAACATAGACACAGCTTGTAAACAATCTAATTCCACTGAACTTCTTAGGGCTACAAAACAATACAACCAGTAATACAGCTTCTCTTTCAGCATGCTGAAATACCAGAGCCTGCCACAGTTTGACACCACAAACACCCACTTTATGTAATTGCCAAATCATTCAAGCAGTCTGCACCTTTCCAATATTCTTAGTGAAGTTTGTGCACAAAGCTGGTGTGTACCCCTGTAATTACATGGAGAAACTGAAATGTAAATGGGAAACACTTCCTGAAAAACACAGCGCGTTCACTCCTTGATTGCTTGCACATTATTTATGAGCGCTACAAATCCAAGTAAAATGTTTTGAACTGCTGGAAAACAACAAAAAAAAACTCTTACAAAACTCCCACACAGAAGCAAAAAAATACTCGTTTTCGAAAGAATTAACAAAGATTAAATCTTAAATAGAGCACTATCCAGGGTTTTACACATAGACTAAAACAGGAACCTGTATTAACATGTATTAAAAGACCTAAAATCTTTAGGCTTACTCTTGCCACTGTATTCTTTACTGCAATGTCAAAGAAGATGCGGAAGTCATCAGACAGATATTCCAAAGCAAAACAAAGTTTTATGCAAATGGGAGATGGAGCTCGATTTGTCAGATCAAAGACACGTGAGCAATATAGGGTGACACCCTCTGGGTTTTAGGACACATAAGGGCTCTGAAATGCTTCAAAGGATTTGGTGTTAATTCCTTCACAAATCTTGCAATACTGAAACCATGGGGTGCTGCCTCCATTTAAAAATGTTTAAGACCTCCAGGTACTCATCTGTACAATTAGCAGAATGCTTTGAAATACCCTTTTTTTAGTACCATGCCTCTCTATGTCTTTAAAACATTTGCTGACACCTGTTTATTTCAGACATTACTAATATAAAGTGCAGCAGTGATCATAATCAAAGAAAGCAGTTTAAAATAATGGTGCAAAAGGGAATTAATATGAAAAAGTTCAGAGCAGCGCAAAAAGAAATATGGTGGAGACGCAGTGGAATATTGAGTTGTGTCCTATTCAAAAGGATTATAACAGGTCAACAATGTTGGTAGTGCAAAATAATGTTGCAAGTGTGATGCAGAGTCTAGTTTAGAGTTCAACAGTAAAGGAGACAGAGAGGTTGCATTTTTTTCCAAGGAAAAACATAATGTGCTTGCCACATTAAAGTGTAATAAATCGTGTTGGTAGCTTAATTATCTGGGGTCTAGGTTTATATGAACTAAAACATTTTTTTTTTCCCGAAAGCCACATCGTTATTGCAAAACTCACCAGTATTATCACTTATTGCTTGTTTACCTAATCTCCTGCAACTTTAAGAAGATGTGCTGTGCAAAACATTTCTTGACTGAAACCTTGCAATGTTTGTAGGATTAAAAAAACCTTAAGTCAAAAAGTGGTTCTGAGGATGAGACTGGGTAGTGACAAATAACCACATGGGCTGCAATAGTGTTTTCATCTCTGATTAAATGCATTTTGTTTCTCTTAACTTCCATTATTTTCATTGGTTAAGTAACTTTACACAACATACACACACGCACATCTTTTGAAAGTTAAACAGCCTTAAATTGATGCACCATGCTAAGTATAAGAGACCAGAAAAAAGATGTTGTACTGCTTGCATTTTTACATAAAATCCCAAATTTGCTGCCTCACCTGTGTTTCAGGAGTGTTGCATGTTGCAGCAGTTTGAAGCGGGTTGTCAAGCAGGTCCTTGGTGTTGTTGTCTGGGGCAGCCTCAGAAAGACCCCCTCCTTCACCCTGACTGGATGACATCAGCCCGACCCTCAGCTCTTACCTGAGGGGTGGAGCAGAGTCACAAGACCTGGAGCAGCCAGATGCACATCAATAGGTAAACAGATAACTTCTTAATAACCTGTTATCGTGAATAAAACAGAATAACATTTAAAAAAAACAAGACAGATTAACAAAGACTAACACCTTACTTAGAGCTTTAACGCCGGGTGTTAACCTTTTATCTTTAGGTTTAAAGCCTCCTTAATTACTTTCCCCAGAGTGCATTAAAATGCTAAATGCAAACAGTCAGGTTTCCGTGAGAACGAGGTTTTTAAACGAGTGTCGACATATAAAAACTGGAAATTCTGGAAGTAACCAAAACGGCGATCTTATTTCGACTGGTACTTCACAGTTGGTTAATGTTAAATGACTCGGGGAAAAAACATCACTGACATAACGTTCAGGCCAAGGGTTGCTAGCTGAGTAACGGGCTAAACTAAAGTTGGGCTCTTTTAATGTAGAATATGTATGTAACATGTCGACCTTAGTATATTTAAAAGAAAACTTATAAAACTCACCATCACCTCGTCATAAAGAGAAAAAATATATATAACGGTTTGCATATGTGTTGTATGTGTGCGGTATAGCTCGCTGTAGCTAACCCTGCTAGCCAAGGACAGCCTCCTGTCAACTCAGCTGCGGCCAAGACGGATTTAGGGGCCGTCGGAAACTCCAAATAAAAACCGATCTACTCCCCAAAAAGCATCCTGATGATTATATGAACTAAGATTAAACATATGTAAGATTCAATATTTCTAAAGAGTACGTTTGCAATATAATAGATGAAATAGCAGGCAATTTCAGTGGTTATCTAGAACTTATAATCTATTACATTAGAAAACTGTATTTTCCGATTGTTCGGGGTGGGGATGGGGATGGGAGGTTGTTACTATTTCACTGTAAACAAAAGGTAAATTAGCCTGACTAAATAGATAGCAAATAAGGAGACAAAATAAAACATTCTCTTTTTAAATATTTTTTAAAGAGGCTAAAATTTTCAATAAACACTGAAGATGACATGCAAACCATCTATATGAATATATGCTGCACATTTCTCAGTATATAAACATCACTTGTTCTTTTGTGCAGTCGAAAACAAAGAAAAAGTTATAGCTTCGACCATATATTACATGCAGAACAAAAAACGTTTTGTACACAGTTCAATCTAAAGCAGTCTGATGCATACAAGGACATTTGGGAAATAATATTGTAGGAGCCAATTATTTTTTGTTAATGATTAAAAATGTTTTTTGTTTTTGTGCATAATCTAGCTAAGTTTATTTTACCTTATTGTTTAATATCTGTTATGAGATTATGTTATTTGGTTATTTAGTCATGTTCCTTTATTATTTGGTTAGTTAAAATTAATTTACGTTAATTATTTTTTATAAATAGGCAGTTAATCTTAGGACCAGCAGCATCTGGGTGGGCCTATGGTGTTTTACCAGCGCAAGAGAAACATGGAGGAAATGTTTTTTTTTTGTTTGTTTGTTTGCTTGCCTGAGGAAAAAATAAACTGAGAAAACTTAAGGAGTTTACCTGGAATATTTCCTTTTGCCTGTGTAAAATAAGTCTATGGTGCGTCTGTTGCCTTTGTGGGTTTTCACTTTTTTGAGCCATCAAAGCTGGGCCAAAACAAATATTATGTACTGTATCAGTTGGTTGTACAATTACAGAATGGAGTAATTCAGATGTGACTCCAAAACATAACTGTTGGTTTAATTTAGACTCAGTATTGGTCAAATAAGATTTTTTTTTTTTTTAATCTAATTAGATTTAACTGCTTCTCATTCCTTTTCAGCTGCAAAATGTAATAGCTCAATTATAATATTGCATAAAAATAAGTAAATTTTGTTTATTTTCCTGCTTTTGAGTTGTTTGAAATAAACTTACCTAAACCTGAAAACTTTGCTAAATCTAATTCTGCTGGGGTTATGAATATTTTTGGGCTTAGCAGTCATTTACATGCCTTGCATAGATGTCAAAAAGGTGAATAAACTTTAGTCAATTTATTATTTCTTTCCCAGCTCTGAGCTTGACTTACCAGTCCTACAACTAGGAGATAATTCAGACTACACCCTGTCCTACTTTTTTACATGACTGAAGTTTATTTTGCAGGACTCCAGTGGTAACAAAAAGGCCTCTTGTTCAGCTAACACATCATCACTGTTGTTCAAACTGAGTTATTCTCAGGTATGTGTGTGATAAAAACCGACGTAGTAGGTGTAGCCCACTAAACAATCAGGAGGAACCACATCACACAGATACACCCAACTCTGGAAGTTCAGCCATGTCTTGGTTGTGTTTTTTTTTTTTGCAAACTTTTACGTGATGAACAGTGCAGCATGTCGGCTGCACCCAGGACAAACTCCCCACTGTAGTGGAAGAATGTCTACATACATACTTTTTCATAATTGCAAAGTTCCACCCGTAGTTTCTTTTTCTGACAAAACGAAGAAACAACTCTTTAGAAAACTCATAACTGTTTAAAATGCCAAAAGCTTTGTGCACAATTCTCACTTCTACTTCAAGGCTGATGGGGGAGGAGTGTAACATGCCTCAGGGAGGAAGAGTGAGTGAAGCTACAACAAAGACACACCCAGTCCAGCAAAGTTTCTGAGGCAGTGTGGAGCAATAAGAGGGTGTGGCTTTTTTTTTTTTTGCACACTGGGAACAGATAAGTTGAGTTTGCCTTGTAAAGAGGGGCATGAGTCACAGTGCTGAACAGTGAGCCGTTTACTTTCACTCCGTTGGTCTCTCTGTTTCTCTCACACACACACAATCCAGCTGCACAAATCAACCTTACTTTTATCCTCCCCATTCCAGCAGCTTTTGGACCAGACCTTTCAGGGAGAAACAGAGAGGAAAAACTTCCAACCATGAAGGACAAAGTGAAAAAAGGAGGAGGAAAAAATCAAGTCAAAGCTGGTAAGTAATCCCTCTAATCACAGTGTTTTTTTAATGCCTTCCTTCTTTTCTGTTTAGCAGCTTCTTTTCCCTTGTGAAGAATATGTGGAAGTAGGGTGGGAGATTTGGCACAGCACTGACTGACGCTCTAACATATCTGGTGCTAACATTCTAGCCTCTTTAAGAAGTTACAGCACATTTAGTGTACTTTTAGAGCATTTTGTAACACTGACACGTGCCTTACAAATGGCTTAAACCCCTCAGTTTGATTGTAACCACCCATTTATGCTCATTGTAAAGAGCAGAAGAGGTGACATTCTCCAGTGTGACTTCTTCACCTTTCTGAACATTCACCACTCCCCTTTTACAAAGATAAATGAGTGCATTAGGGTTCAGTGCATGTCAGATTCGACTCAGCTGAGCGTTTTTCCTATAAAATAATAAAACGTTGGCACAGCATTAAGAGCTAAAGCTTGTGACTTTTTAATTACTTAAATTACTTGTGGTATTACCGTTTTATAAATTTAATGTTGCAGTTTTTATAATTTTTTTTCTAAATTGTTGAAACATTTTTATGACGTTTTTTTTTTTTACTTAATCCAAGTGCTGATTCATCTGACTATCAGGTGTTTTGTTTTTGTTTAAAGGTGGTGTCTTGTACCTCATTTCATTAACATAAAAATCATCAAAATGCCCTTTTTCACATAACAAATTTAAACATAACCTCTAACTACTTTGTTATTGCCGTTTGATTTCTGCAAGATTTAGTCTAAGTCAGTCCAGGCTAAGCAAAAAATTAAATTTCTGACATAACCAAGAACAGTGTTTTTGAATCAAAGAGGTAGCTCTAAAAGATAAAGGCACAATATTAGTTTTTTTGCAACTGTAATAAAGCAGTAGGTCCTGTAAAGAATAAATGATGCTCCCTTAGATTCCAAAGAGGCGGCGCGTTCCTTCAGCCAATAACATCTACCTATTTATTGGGAGCTTTCCAATAGCAAAACAGATCCAGATTGACAACATCAGCAGCTAATTTAGTGTGGAAAGAACAGTAATTAAAAACAGATCAGGATTTTTGTCTTATATGCCTTCAGTATTCAACAGAAGAAGTCAAACTTTTAGATTTTAAATTTCTTTTTCAGCTGTAACATTTTGGTGCTTGCTAAAATAAAGCTGGGTGTGGCTGTCGTTTCACCTGGAGATGACATGAACACCAGAAGGAAAATCCATCAGGTTTAGTCACACATCATTTCAAGGAACACGCCGAGTCCTGCTTTCCCTCTGGCACCACATGTGTGTGTAAAATTGGGCCACGCCCCATTTGCCTTGTAAATCACATGTTTTTTCCAAGTTCTTTTTTAAAATAAAGAAATAGATTTACACATAAAGACTCCTCGGATTAGGTAAAAGTGATAAAAAAAAAAGATTAATTCAAAAACATTAATCCATTAATAAAATGGAAGCATGCTATGCCATGATTGTTCTCCCTTCATTCATTGTTTCCAGTTCTGGTTAGCTAGAGACCATCATGGATGGTATAGGGGGACAGGAGAAATAATAAACCAAATTGTTTTCTCCTCTTTCACTGGACCCTGTATTTTATCACAGTTAATTTGGCTTTCTCCATTCTCTCCTGCACATAGATGTAATCTCTCCACCCAGCGGAGATGATACTGTTGATATCAAGCAAGAGGAGAGCACAGCATTTCCTGTGAAGATCCAAGGAGCAGGAGTAGAGCCATTTGAACTGCAGGTAACAAACAACAATGAAAGGCGAGATTGAATTTCCTGATTCAGTTTTGTTGCTACTGTTTAAAGCTACATGAGGTTCTTTCTGTGTTCGTACCATTTAGGTTAATGCGTTCTGGCTCGTTCAAGATGTGATGATGGCCCTGCTTTCGAGGAATGAGGTGTGTCCACGTTCCAACTTGTCTCTAGCTCTAGCTGGGGCAACTTTGGATCCCCTTGCTGAACTGCTAGGCATCAAGGGCCTTAAGTCAGGAGCTCTCATTCGACTAGTGGAAGGTAATATTTAGTTTAAATTTCAGTTGATATACTCTGTTTGAATTCACACTAACTGCATGATTCAGAAATGCTTAAATCTGTTGTCATAGTGGATTATTCACAGTTCTGATTAGCTGTTTATATAAGTATTAGAAAAATATCCTGACCCATTAAACTTCTTTCCCATTTTGCAATATGTATTAGGTTCCCCGAAACACCTTAAATTAGATCAAGAGGAAATAGTTGCATGCACAGTTCAAATAAAGTCCATCTGTGTGTAAACGGATCTCACTACGAATAATGTTGTTCTGCAAAGGGCCTTAGAGCTTTGTTTAAGAGCATTAGCGGACAAGCAGCTTCATGGGGACCAAGTTATACAGCAGTAATTCATCATTTGAGGTGGGATATCTTATAAAAGATCATCTGAGGTTGTGAACTTCTCACGGGGCATTGCTCAGTTCATTTCCTGAAAATAGAAAACTATGATGCAACTGCAAGGCAACCAAGATTCAGACCTTCACCTAATCTGTCAAATAAGAATAGCATCAACCTTGCAGGAATCGACAGCTCATGTTGGAGAATTTAGTGATCGAACTATTATTTAAAAAAACTCTCTTTTAGAAATCACTGGCACGATGAAGGTCTAATTTTGTATTTTCCACAAGCCTTGTAAGAGGACAGCCAATACGAAGAAGGTGCTCTTATCAGACAATTTTCTGCCTACAGGGAAAATGTTGTGATAGAAAACAGCTCATCACCCTGGACTCACTATCCCACTGTAAAACATGACTGTGGCAGCATCCCACTGTGGGAATGGCTTGCTGTAGGAGGGACCAGTCAGAAGGTCATAGCTGACAGGAAGAAAGATGGAGCTGAACACAATGAAGTCCTGAACACCATCAGAGCTACAATGGAATGCTTTAGATGGAAGCAAATTCATGTGCCAGTTTGGGGCCAGAGTCCAGACTTAAACCAATTAACAAAACAAAATGCATGTTCACAGAAGCTCTCCAGTCACTCCGACTAGACTTCAGCTATTTTACAAAAAAGAATTGTAAAATGCAGGGTCTAGAGATGCAAGGTTTTACAGAGTTATCCCAAAAGACTTAAAGCTGAAACAAAAATTTGTCTTTTCAATTATTAATTCTTGACTTTCTACAAATGTATGCTACACTGTTAGGATGTCCATTAGTTAAAATGTCAAAATCTATATAATTTTCCTTCCATTTCACAATTGTTCACTTAGTTTTGTATGTCTTTAACATACATGCTATAGAAATATAGAGAGTTTCGTAGTTTGTTTGTTTTTTTACTTGAAGCACAGTGAAACAGTTAAAACAGATATTAATAAATTGAAATAACTGAACAGTTAACAAATGTTTATTGTAATGACAAAACTAAAAACATTCTGGTTTACAAAGTCAGTAAAATCAGACATCTCAATGCGAACTGACAAAGTCAAATGCAACTTTTGATTATACAAGTAAACAAGCAAGTCTGCAGGCTGAAGACACATTCTGCACAGCTGCCAGGTATTTATGTAGGGTTGACCCAGATGTTCTCCATCAGCCTGCCTACTGCACTGCAACCAATGGATCCAATCCTTGAACAGTTCAAATAATGAACCACCAGACAAGGCCTTCATTGTATTTTTTCCCCTTTATTAGTCAGTTTACTGAAACAAATAATTATAAATGCATTTTTGTTTTCCGTTTGCCTGTTTTATTGAAAATGGCACAGTGTTGCAGTTTACTAGCCTGGGCATCTTTACCTAAAGCATGTTTTCATCAACCATGTACTGGGTCTGTGAGGGTCCCTTGGCTTCCTCTCATAGTCCAAAAGCACGCACATTAAGTTTAGCAGTCTTTCTAATCTGACCTTAGCTATGAGTTTACATTTGCATGGTTAGTTTTCTTGTGACAGACTGCAGAGTTGTTTAGTATGTGGCTTAATTCTTACTGACTGCTGGGAATAGACACCGACCCCACCTAAAGTACAAAAAATAGATGGATGTTATTATTCTAAGCTTAGATGTAAACTATCTCAGCCAACTGGTCAATGTCCAAAGAGGGATGTTCTGGATGCTTTGTGAGCAGATCGTTCATTTCACAGGTTCATTAGATTTTTCGCACGTCACTGTGACTTTCATAAAGAGGGTCAGGCTAAAATCTTATGTTAACCAATGCGTGTCTCTGCAGAGCCTTATACCCTCCACTCCGCAAGGGTTCACTTGGCTCGGGTTGTGGAGCTACTGAGAACGTCTGGTCCTCATGATGCACTGAGAGAAGGGCGATCACCGAGTGTGCTGGAGACACTCACACACACACCTGGTAAATGCATAAAGGCCGTCCACTGAGACAAGACCGCAACAGCAAAAAACCTGATTCATTCGGAAATTTCTCTTTGTTCCTCATACAGAATCAAACTTAGCGAATGGAAAGAGCCTGAAGCGCTCATTAAGCAACACAAAGGGAGAATCAGCAAACCAGGATGGAGCTCCACCTGATTACCTCTTGCCTGGTTCCTCAGAAAGACCACTTATGGCTCTGTTACCACACAGCTCTCAAACAGAGGTGGGGTTATACAAGATTGTCTGGGAATTTGACTAGTTTGAATCAAGTAAAACACAAATTGACCCTCCTTCTCTTTATTTGTGTCTTAATAGGCTCCTAGTTATTTGAAGGACTTGTCTCTTAGCTGCTGGCACCCCCCTCCAGGACACAGGAAGCTGCAGGGGGACTTCATGTACATCACAGTGGCGACAATAGAGGGTCGACACTGTGATATAACATCCTGTCCAAAAGGCTTCTTCCTGAACAGGTGAACATTCTTATGTCCGAACTTTTATCATTTAGGGTGTGCAATAGCCTCCAAGTGTGTTCCCTTTAAACTTATTATAATTTTTTTTAAACCAAACACACATTTCAGTCAAGGTTTTAGTAGTTTTTGTAATTATATTCATCATGAAGACAAGGGAACACAGGGAATAGACCAGGAAGAAGTTTGTGGAAAGGTTCGAGAGAAGGGATACAATTTAAGAAGGTTAAAGCAGAATTAGGCTACAAAACAAAACCTCAGCCTTTTGAAAATAGAGGAACTTTTCAAAGCATCACACAACTGCTGACCTAACAAAGAGCTGGCCGTCTCCCTGAACCGATAGGCTTGACGAGGAAAAGATAATAATAAATACTGCCTAAATTTCATTGGTAGCTCAGGTAGGAGAATCTGTTGGCAAGCAACTAGAAAGAAAGACACAAGAAATCTAAAAGCCATTGATGAAAGAATACCAGATAAAGCTTATGCTTGCAACAAATCATTTAGCAAACACAGCAAACATGCAGGAGAAAATGCTCTGTCCAACAATACCACATTTTTGGGTTATTGTGATGAAAAACCAGCCCTGCACTTCATCCTTAGACACACTTTTCGCATCGTAAGACAATTTGGTGGCACAATGGTGTTCTGTGTGTGTTTGTGTTTGTAACAAGCCTTAAAAATATTTTCTTTGGTTGAGAAACAGTTGAGACCCGAGCAGAATTAAACATACAAGTATTACAATATATATTATGGGTTAGGGCTGCTCAGTGGTATAGTGGGTAGCACGGCTGCCTTGCAGCAAGTAGGTTCTTGGTTCGATTCACGCCACGGTCTGGGTTCTTTCTGCATGGAGTTTCCATGTTCTCCCTGTGCATACGTGGCTCCCCCGGTACTCCGGCTTCCTCTCACAGTCCAAAAACATGACTGTTAGGTTATTTGGCTTCTCTAAATTCTCCTTAGGTGTGAGTGTTTTTGTGTGAATAGTTGTCCTGTGTGTTTCTGTGTTGCCCTGCGATGGACTGGCAATCTGTTTAGGGTGTACCCTGCATCTCGCCTGTAGACAGCTGAAGATAGACAGCAGCACCCTTCTCGAGCACAGCTTGGATAAAGCGTAACAGAATATGGATTATATGTGTTAAAGTTCAGGCAAAATTTAGAAGCTTAAACTTTGGGCTACAAGTAAGTAGACATACTCAGATAGACTTTCTGCTGTAATCTGAGTTCCAAATAAATATTTATCCAATGGGGTAAAAAGAATACTTGCTAGAGTAAGTAGATTTATGTTCGTAAAATAACTTGAAAGCCATTAACGTAGTACTTTGTGTTTTTCTGTCACATCAGATCCCAATATTATACAATAAAATTCAAATTTTAAAATACGTTATTAATTCTAAAGAGAAATTAGATAAATTTAATAAATGCAATGACGTCTGTGGTTGTAACTGAGCAAATTACATTAGGAGATGTTCTAAGGGTATTATTACCTGTGTAACAAACATGTATGTACAGATTGTTGCATTTAAGTGTACAATACAAGTCAGTTTTTTTCTTGTTATCATGTTTAGGTCTACTGAAGATTTATTTGATCCCCGTCCTGCACAATCTTCTCCTATCTGTCACTGTCTCACGGACTTGCTGTGCCACCTCAGCCCTACTTTCAAGCAAGCCTTTACTACACTAAAAAACAGGTTAGTAATATTATATACCACTGTAAGCTGCCTGAACTCCTGTAGCTGAGTTTGATGCATTATGATTTTCCCTCTTTAGACCACAGCAGCTCCCAGTAGAGGCGATGCCCACTCCTTACCACACGCTGTGCTGGCTCGGGCCTCCTTGCGCCTCTCGTGTTCACAAGAACACCTTCAGTCGATTGGGAGTGGATGAACAGGCAGCAGCACAGGTTTGATTTGTTTTCATTTGTGGATGTATTGCATAAAATATAAAAGCACTAATATATATATATATATATATATATATATATATATATATATATATATATATATATATATATATATATATATATATATATATATATATATATATATATATATATATATATATATAATATGCTGTATACAAATATATACCTAAGGCAACTGTTTATTATGTTTAGGCACCAGATTGGAATGAGGAGTTACAAGCAGCCAGAGATCTCCCAGAGGGAAGTCTGGAAGAAAGAATCCAGAGAGACAAAACTTTGCTACAGGTTAGAAATAAAAGCTTGACAGATTTTACTTCTGAAACAAATGCAGTTCAAACATGTCTCTAAATTGTTTTTTTTTTTTGTTTTTGTTTGTTTTTTTAACCAGATTAACAGTGCTTTTGTAAGGACTGCTATGCAGGGAGTTGAGACTGTGGTAGATGGATTTGTCGAGCCGGTAAATGGAAACCCAGAGGACCCAGCTTTCCTCTGGGGAGGTCTGTTCATGAGTCAGGGGGCCACAAGTCCGGTATTCGGTGGTGAGCGGGGTCGCAGGTAATACATGTCAAATGTCTTTTAGCAAACTTGTGAAAGAGTATGCTGCAGTTCTCTGGGACTGTGCTTAAGATATGTTGTGCAACTTCATTACCATGATCCCAACAGTGGGGAAAGAAGATAAATCTTAGTTTCAGAATTGGTGTTTTTCATAGATGATTTAATATAAGCATTGCCATGACCAGGAGCTTTTAGTTTCTAATGGACATTTCTTGACCTAATAAAATGAACACAGCATTATCTGACTTTAATGGTTTTGTCTTTCCCACATTGAAGAGTTGACAAGAGTAATTGGCCTCTAAATGACTTCCTATTGGTACCTGAGGTAAACAAGCAGTTCCCAAATCATTTTATTAACTTTCTGTATAAAAGTGACTTTAGACTTTAACTAAGTGTTTGCTTGAGGTACAATTCTTTAAAAAAAAAAACATGTTCGAGAAGCAGTGAAGGGGGCTGTTGTAATACTGGAGGAGCCTCAGGATCCACAGCTCAGATGGTGTATGTCACCACTACTGTTTGGTAAATTCTTGGTTGTAAGAGTACAGACATTGGAAAAACAAAACTAACAACAGAAAAAAACAAAAAGGTCCCAAACTAGCCTGAGCACTGCAATATATGGATTATACATATACCTGTAAGACAAATATCCATGACTACACAAACAGACATACGTACAAAGTCGACACGATGACAGGAGACAGGCAAGTGTGAAATAAGCAGAACAAAATAAAATGAGAAAAAAAAAATTAGCCTTCCTCTTCTAGGGAGAAATGACATTACAATTAGTTTCTGTTCAACTGTAGGGACCTGGGGAGTTGACCACCTCAGTAAAGGAATTTTTTTTTGCCAAAAATAAAATAATTACCGTAGTAAGAGAGACTTAGTGTCTGCGTCAAATAGATTGTCTGGGATATATAAGGAGACGGAAAGAAGAAGTGAGCAGAAATGTTTCACCGGTGACCTTTACAGAATGTACCCCCTTTTATAAACTTTGAATATGGTTGCATGACCAAACAAATAAGTAAATCTCTCTTTATGTATTTTACATTTAAAGGTTATACGTGCCCGAGAACATTTTAATCTTTGGAGGTTGAGTTACATTTAGGGAAAAACTAGTTAACCCCTTGAACCCTACGGACCCACCGGCGGGTCCAGCTGCTACATGACCTTGTAGTTTTACCAAACCCCCAGTTTTGATGTAAAAAACATATTTGGCACAGTTTGGTGACATTTATGGATAAATGTGCCAAAATGGCCTCTCCGCCTAAGAAATTTCTCACTAATACCATTCTAAAATAAATATGATTCATCTGATTGAGTCCACATTTTGTATATTTTTACACAACATTTAGATTTAAAAGTCTGTACTAATTTTTTGTGCTATAAATAATATTTTGGTAGTGTTTTGCAATGTTTATTTCAAAGAAAATTTTGGCGAGGTTCAAAAATTGCAAAATATTTTGTATTTTGTCCCTAATATTTCAGGCAGGGTCAAAGCTACAATGGTGCTGACACCAGAAACCATTCTATGACATCTTACCTTTACAGACGTACCAAAAGTTTCTTCTTAAATCTAATAGCTTTGAGGCTATAAGTTATTTACTTTTGTGTGTTTTTGTCAGGCAGAAATTTATTTATATCCCCTTAGGGTTTAAGAGGTTAAAGATCATGATCCAGTCCACAGGGTTAAAAATCACCTCCAGTTCTCACTCCTATTATAGCTTCAGAGAGTGATAACTTGAAGAATATTTTTAATGTGTCATAAAGACTACTCTACATATATAATCCTCATAAAATACATAAATGTTTTTGTTTTACAGTGAAAATCTCTTAAGCGGGGGTGAATATTTTTGCTATGCATTGTGGCTGTTGTGACAGAAGCAAATGAGCACACCCCTCACCATTTATGCAATGGTTTGGATTTACTCCACAAAGTTGTTTCATATTTATAATCATCTTCCCACCTGCAGGGCAGCTCAGAGGTTGGAGCTTAAAGGTGTGCAGGCCTACAGTGACTTAGATGGGCTCCAGGGCCTGCATACCATACCCACAGCTATCGTGGACTACAGAGGAGTGCGTCTGTCAGCCCAGGGTCTGGCTCCTGGCTTTGAAAGCTCAGAGCAGGACCAGAAAGATTCTCCTGCCTCTAGGTACTTACTGTTAGCGTTTTTAGTATGTTTTACCTCTGTGTGCATTTGTTGCTGGATTTATTTTCTTTTTCTCTCCTCAGAGGTTTGCTTTATGGAGTGAATGCAGGACCCCAAGAATCCCCTCATCGTAGACGGCTGCTAGGACTGCTGGCTCATGCAGCGAAAAGTCTGTCCATCCAGCGACATGTTGTTGTGGCTCCCAAGGGTCACCGAGTACCTCTGTTCACCTCTGCCGATGCTCAGGGGCTACTGGGAGCTGATGGGAGGTTCTACATACTAGATGTATTTAGGAGCTTCCCAGCTGATGCCAACTTCTGTCCAGAGGGGGAAACACAAAATCAAATAGCCGATGAAGATGAGCAAAGCAGCGAAAAATGTAAAGAGAATGAGGAGAACAGCAACAGGAATGAGAAAGAGGGTTGGCCAGAGAATTATCAGGGCATGAATGGGCTCCCTAAAAGTTTTCCTCATGCTCTCTGTAGACTGAGGCCAGAGCTGGTGCAAGCGTTCATTCAGCACAAGTGAGTTTAATGTGGAAGAAAATGTTGTGAATTCAATTTGAACTTGTTTTTTCATCGATTTTAAATGTTTTTTTGGTATTGCAGACATTGTCAGTTTACCCGAATTGTGAAGAAGAAGATGGATGAGAGTGGAGGATTTGAAGAATGTGCAACAGCCTGTAAGGAGTATTTTACAGTTATACAGCTCTGTCCATCGAAAAGCACACATTTTATTCTTGACCAATTTTTTTATTTTTTTTAGGTGACTCTCGAGCGACTGATGCAGTACGGGCTGCATGCAGAGACGTGGGCTCAGTTAGTGACATCATCTTTGAGATGCGTTTCAACCCAAACGTTTTCTCTCCGGGTATATAAATTAAAAATGCCTTTTCAGACATAACAAACACTCAGTAGATCATTACTAAAACTGTTATTTCTTTTGTTTATCATTCAGGAATCCAGTTTCCTCCTGCTGAGAGTGCAGCAACAAACCTCCAGGAGAAGTTGTTGAGAGAAGCTGCAGCTTTTATCATCACACACCAGATACCAGACTTTGTACGTGTCTCCAGTGCTTCCAATTTCTTGAAGTTGTCAAGGAGAAATGTGTGTGACCATCAAATAAGAGTGTAATACGTTATAATTATTGCTTTTTATAGCTGCAGTGCTGCCTAGAAAACCATGAGGCGCCAATGGATGGAGCTTCTCTGAAACAGGCGCTGCACCAGAGAGGAATCAACCTGCGTTACCTGGGGCACGTGGTCAAGGCTATCAACCAGTCAGAACACAAGGAGCGCCTCCGGCACATATTGGTTTGTTTCACTTCTTCACATTTAGCTGACAAATGTAAAATAGTCTAACTATATCTGCTATGTTAACATTTTTACTATCTCTCTTTTTGTATCATACAGAGATCAACTATTGGTGAAATTTTCATCCGCTCAGCAAAAAGAGTCTTCAACCATTTTCTACAGGTAATTTGTGGCTGTCTGTAATGACTGCTATAATTTTCCAATGCATTCAGTCCTTGATATATGGATGGTAATTAATAATAGTTGTAGTTTTGGCTCATTGTTTACGAGTGGGGGTCTCATTTAGAAAGTTTGGTATGCACAGAACTGTCTCTAAACTTGCATACGCCGACTTTCATACAAAGGCTGTGATCTATGAAATATGTGATGCTTCATCCAAACTCTGACCATACGTATGGGAAAGCTAGTTTAGGAGAGGCTGGGATTTGGTGACTGAGGTGGGAAGCTGAGGCCAGATTACATCATAATTCTCTCAGACATTTAATTTCACTTCATATGAAACCTGAATCAAAGATGAACTTTGTTTGTTTTGTAACCGCAGTCTAGCATGTGCTGGCACTCCTGAGCCGACCATAATTCAACCCATATTTAAATGTTTCCTCACCATCACATTCCTCCATTGTATAAATCCAACAAGGTTTGTGGAATTCACACAGATTTCTGGTAACCTTTAAATACCATTGAACCACCAGTGCTTAATGATGCGTGATTGATGTTTTAAATATGTTGAACTCTCTGTAAATTGGATAATAAGGAGGAAATGCAATTTCAGGGCTTTAGCTGGGCCATAAGGGCGACTGATTTATTAGCCCCGCCGTTCCTGTTCATCACAGTTTTTAAAAAAGGAGAACAGTGTGCCCATGTTAAAAAAGAAAGTGTAGTCTGTTAGATGTTTCTAAAAAACACAAATAAATATAAAAAAATAAGCAATTTGGGGTATATATCGAATTTGATATATAATTATGAATTATAGATCTAAATAATTTTTTAGATGGTTGAAAGATATATGATACTTCATTCTCCAGTCAGTTAAAGATCCAAAATAATCCTTGAAAGATTAAGTAAAGTAAACATCTTAATACTAAGATCATGTAGCCAAAACATGCCAATTTTTTTTCATGAAATCCTATAGATAGGTGTGCTACTTTCCCACATGTTTTTTTTTATTACTTCAAGCTGTTAACCCCTCTGGGATTCCTGAGAAACAGCTCTTACCAGTGCAAAATGTGCCACAGACCTTTAATTAACAATCAACTAATTCTTTGCCTGAGGAAACTTTTCGGATAAGAATAATTCCATGAAATTGTCCAAAAATCAGAGATATCAAAGCCAACCATAACCACAATGCTGCCTGGATGTCCACAGACTCTGTAGATGTCAATGATAATACTTCCTTTTATTCACTCTGGCTATAAAACATATTTTCTGGCTCACTACCTCACTCAACACATCTATTTATGCCTTGATCAAAGGAGACTTTTTTCATTTTTTTTTGGCTGTGTTTGTCGAGGTAACCAGGAAACAACAGTGACCCGTTGGCTTATTTAAACACACGATGACATTCATGCAGTGCTCTGTATGGACCAGTTATGGTTAAATGGAGGGGTAGAGGACTCAAGGTGAGATAAAGACTTGCATACAAACTTTGAGGTACAGCTTTGATTGATAAATGATATAAATGGTTTTATGAATAAGGATTTTTTTGACACACTCCAATTGTGTGTGTTTGACATGCATAGATTTTATTAGGGGTGAAATGTCTTCTAAATGAGACCTCAGAGTCTGGTTCGTAGACCCCTTTGTTTGGGATAGAATGAAACAAAACAAAAAAACAGAGCAATAGTTAAGCATTAAATGTATAAAGTGAACCAAAAAACATGTGCAGCTCTGGAATCATCAGATCTAGCAGAGGAAAACATGATTCTATGTCAATATGACTGAAGCTAAAAGGGCAAAATCATCTTTCTTTCTAAAATCAGCAATAAAATAAAACAGTGAAAATAAAATAAATAATAGCTCCTGTCAAGAACCATATATGCTCCCTCAACTCTTTTGAGCTCTGCCCATAAAAGTCCTACAGCAGTGTTTCCTAACCCCTACCTTTAAGTTCCCCTGTCCTGCATGTTTAAGGTGTCTCCTTGTTGCAGCATGACATACATGGGCAACATAGTTACAATCCCTCATTTAATGATGGAAAACCCACAATGGTCAAACAAATAACTTGAATCTGATATAAGTAATATCAAATAAAAATACTATGAAAATAAGCAAAGGAAAATCAGACCTTGCTTCAAAAAATGATGGTCCCCTTAACTTAATATCTTGTTGTTTAGCCTTTTGAATCAATCACTGCAATGAAATGATTCCTGTAATTGTCAATACAACTTCTGTTCCTCTCAGAAGTATTTTATCCACTCCTCATGAGCAAACTGTTCCAGTTGTCTCAGGTTTTAAGGATGTTTCAGCTCCTTCCAAAAATGCTCAGTTTGATTTAGGTCAGGGTTCATAAAAGGCCTCTTCAGAATAGTTCAGTGTTTTCCTCTTAGTCATTTATGGGCATTATCCTGTTGCAATATCCATGACCTATGACAGAGACCAAGCTGTCTGACACTGGGCAGCACATTTATCTCTAGAGTCGCTCTGTAGTTTACCTTTAACTTGCTTGTCTATAATGTTATTTCTCATCTCCTAAGACTACTCTTTCCTTTGCTTTCTCTGTTCCTCTGTTGAGTGTGGTACACACCATGTCACCAAACAGCATAGTAACTACCGTATTTTCACGACCATAAGGCGCACCGTACTAAAAGGCGCACTCTCAGTTATGTGTCCCATTTCTGTATTTAACACACACATAAGGCGCACCGGACTATAGGGCGCATTTTTTATATACAGGTACATGTCCTCTACTACCTTTAAATACCTCTACTGCGTATTTTAAAAATACAGCGGGCCCAAAACTGAGTATGACTGTGCTTTATTCATGTATTTATTACAAATTAATCAAACCTGCGTGCTGGCCATGAGACAGACACATCGCAGATGACACAGCGCTGTGATTACTCCTAAATTAACTTAAAATCCTGAAACCTGCCGACGGAATATGTTCGCTTTTATTGCCGGTATCCTGGTGCCTGCACTGTAAATTATTTAGATGAAAAACACCTGCCAGCCGCCGTGTGAGGCTGCTGTTGAAGGGATTTACTGTCGGTGTACCGCTGGTATGTGGGGGTCTGAGCGCCTCCGACAGAAATAGATAATCTGGATGAACTGACTGCAATTAAGTTTTCAGGTGGACTTTCTCACTTAAAAACATATTAAAACTACTTTATTCCCACTGATCACAGCAAATATAGCTGCAAGATTTAGATTATTTAGATGAAAAAACACCCGCCAGCCACCGCGCTGAAGAGGAGGAGACGCGCCCAGAGGCTGCTGTTGAATTAAGTTTTCAGGTAGAAAAATAGAGCGGGAGTAAAACTGAGTATGTTTGTGCTTTATTCATGTATTTATTACAAAGTATTAATCAAACCCATCAAAGTCATCATCCTCTGTTTCTGAATTAAACAGCTGCGCTAAATCAGACATGCCAGTTTCCCATCTTCGCTGTCAGAGTCACTTTCCGTGCAGCGCGGCTCCTCAGAAATAATGCCGGCTTTTGCGAAAGCTTGAACAACAGAGCCAGCAGACACGTTAATCCAAGCATCTACAATCCATCCGCTAACGGTGGCGTAACTTGCCCGGCGCTGCCTTCCACTTATCCTGAAACTGTGGTCTCCGTCTGTCATCCATCGCTCCCACGCCGCTCACAGCCTTACTTTGAACGGCCGCTTTCACACCGATGTCGAGCAGTTGAAGCTCCTTTGTCAGACCCCCGGGATAACGGCGAGCACAGCGTTCATTTGATTCATCTTTTTTTTTCACATCGGCTGTGAGATGGGCACGCAGCGATGGTGATGCGTGGAAAAAAGCACCTGGTCTCCTCACATACACCTGCCTTTCATCATCTCCCCAGCCCGTTTCATTTGCGTTAATATCATATGTCATCAGAGCGCTGTGTCTGTCTCGCTGTCAGCTCCCAGATCAGCTTCTCTGATTGGTTGATGCGGCGCGTCCAGCAGCAAAACTTCAATTTTTCCATCTCGATCAGCAGCACCTATACGCGACCTTTTGCTGCACCTATACGCGCGTCAACCATTGACATTGCATGTAAACTCGCTGCTTCTGCTGCACCTGCTGGGTCCGGTTCACACCGATGTCGAGCGGTTGAACAGCGAGCACAGGGTTAATTTGTTTCCCCATGTTTTTCACATCAGCTGTGAGATGGGCACGCATGGAGTTACATATTAACAGCGATGGTGATGAGTGGAAAAAAACACCTGGTCTCCTTACATTCAGCCACTCTTTCATCATCTCCCCAATGAGGTGGTCTCAAAAGTCGCAGTTACAACACACATAAGGCGCACCGCACCATAGGGCGCACCGCACATTTTGAGGGGAAAAAAAGACGTTTAAGTGCGCCTTATAGTCGTGAAAATACGGTACCTATAGCCATATATATAGGCCCAATGACTGATTACAGACACCGGCGATACAAATTATTGGACACAACTGTATTCAAAATAACTCTTTGGTCACATTATTTTCAGTCTTTTCTAGGGGTTTACCTTAAGATTTGTTTAGGGATTGTTCATGAGTTTATTTTTTTAAATAATTATGTCAATACATGGTGGAAAATCCTATTACTTTGAGTTACTCTATGATTTGTTATTTTTCATAAAAATCAGTAAATGTTATACATGTTTAACCTGCTTTGATTTCCTGGATGGTGTTTTGTTGCTACAATGTAAGTGCACTGTTCCACACTGCTGCAAGACCCAGAGAACATGATGCTGCACCATGCATTTTTCAGCGAAGATTATGTTCTAAGTCATGCAAGCTTTGTCCTTTCACTTCCGAATGTAACAATGGTCATAAGACCATACCAGTTACTTTTAGTTTTCATCAGAAAAGAAATATCGACTAGAAAAGGTCATTGTTACAGTGTGAATGTTCTACCTATAATGTGGCTTTTAATGCTGTTTTTGCAGTAATGGCTTCTTCCTCTCTGGGTGGCTTTGAATCCTTGTTGATAGATAAATCTATTTACAAGCTTCAACCAGCATCATTTCCTGTTGTTCTGGGGTGGATTTGCATTTCAAACTAAAACCTGCTCATCTCTAGTATGAGGAAAGTTCCTGAAATGGACGATGATTGAACATCCCCATGTTGTCAGGGTTACTTGAGACATTCTTGCATTCCACTCCTCAATGCCTCTTAGTTTGCATTGTAAGAAACCTTGAGGCCTCTGGAAAGTATAAAGTTGGTAGTGGTGAACAAGGTCCCCTCTTCTTTTTATTTTTGCATGATGTTACACAAGGAAGCAATGGTTAATGTGTTGCATTAATACACCTCCTTAAGTGTGTCTTTGTCTAACTCTGATTCTGTGAATCATATTATCAGAAACTTGCAAAGCTGGATGTCAACTTCTGACTGACACTGTAGCTACAGGCATGTTCCTGCATAAAGAATTCTGCTAAGCATCTGCTCCTGTCTTTGCAGGGTGTGGATGTGTCCTGCCTCTCTACAGCAGTCAGTCACTTCCTTGGTTGCCTATTGGTTCACCATTTCATACCCTCTCCTGTCGGGGAAGAGGTGAGGAAAAAGTCAAGGAGACGTGGCCGTGCAGCTGGGGCCTCCGAGAGCATGCCGTGGAGCATGCTCACTGGATCTGAGCTGTGGAATCTGGTCTGCCAAGACGCTGTTGAAACATATGACATCTCTGACAGTCTTGGGTGAGAGGACCTGTTCACCACCTTTGTTTGTGAAGCAGAGGTAAAGCTCATGTTTAACCCTTGCAATCCTCTCATAGCGCTGGTCCGAATCATTTGGTGGAGCACTATGGACTTCAGAAACTCTCATTGCTGAGAGATTTCTGTTTAAAAACTGGAGTGCAGGTAACCTACATATTACCAGTGTTATTTAAAGCAATGCATTCTAGATTAGACACATACAGGTCATGTAATTAGAATATCATTAAAAAGTTGATTGGTTTCAGTAATTAAATCCAAAAAGTGAATTGTATATATAATATTCCTTCATCACAAACAGAGTGGTATATTTCAAGTGTTTATTTCTTTTAAGTTAGATTAGTGTAACTGACAGCTAATCCATTAGAGTCAGAAAATTTGAATATTTTGAAAAAGTTCAATACTGAAGTCACGTTTAGCTACACTCTAATCACTTTATTAACTTAAAACACCCACAAAGACCTTTGAATTGTCTCTTAGTGTAATTCTATTGGTTGCACAATCATGGAGAAGACTGTTGACTTGACAGTTGTCCAAAAGACCACTTACCCCTTGCACAAGGAGGGCAAGACACAAACTGTCATTGCTAAAGACGCTGGCTGTTCACAGAGCTTTGTTTCCAAATTAAGCAGATTAAGCATATTAACAAAGAGGCAGAAAGAAGGAAAAATATTCAATAAATATGGATTACTGTACCGTGGAGAGGATTGTGGACCCATACAGAAATGTGGGGAAGATTCACAAAGAGCTGACTTTAGCTGGAGTCGGTGTTTTATGGACCAGCGAGCATGGATGTATGCAAGGTATGAGTTACAGCTGTCGTGTTCCTCCAGACTCCGGGACCTGGAGGCACAGAATCCATGTTGCTTAAAGGTATAGCTGAGGATGTTCTTATTTCATCAAAATAAGTGGTCCTCCTAATTGTTAATCATTCTGGTGATATGTTTACATAAGGCCATCCTACGTGCTCTTCCCCGTTTTCACTTACCAGTGATGAGTCTGACATGATGGAAAAAATGCAAATCTTCTTTTGAAAAAATAGTGTGCACGAGGAGAAATGGGCTCATGCATGCTCTCACGCGCATTTAATAGGCATTCCCTCTCAGGAGCAGGTACAGGGTTGTGCATGAGCATTTGTTTTTAAAGTTGAGAGGGTGGGTCTTTTCAAAGATTCACGAAAATCTTCCACTACACCTTTAGGTGTCATTTCAAAGTTTCCACAGTCAGCCATGGTTTGGCGTGCCATGTCATCTGCTGGTGTTGGTTAAGGTCAACACAGCCTCCTAGCAGGAGGTTTTGAAACACTTCATGTTCCCTTCTACTGACCAACTTTATGGAGATCCAGATACATTTTTTTAGCTAGACTTAGCACCGGCACATAGTGCAAACCCTACAAGTTCCTGGTTTAAGGACTATGGTATCCCTGTTCTTAACTCACCAGCAAACTCACCTGACCATAACTTCATAGAAATTGTATGGGTTAGTGCTAAAATTAAAAGGCAATATGCCAGAATTAACAACGCAAAAGGGCTGAAAGGCACTATCAGAGCAACCTGTGTTCTCATAACACCTGAGCAGTGCCACAGACTGATCCACTCTACGTCAAATTACTGCAGTAATCCAGGAAAAATGAGACCCAACTAAATACCGAGTGCTACATGATATTGCTTTTCGTGTTCATACTTTTTTAGAAGGCCAACATTTCTAGAAATCCTTTTTTGTATTGGTATTAAGTAATACTCTATCTCTTTGAGAGACTGAATTCTTTTTTTTTTTTTCTGATTAGTTTCAGCCAGGCTCGGACTGGTAATCTGTGGCACCAGGCATTTTCCCGGTGGGCCGGTCTTAATTTCATCGTGCGAGGGCCGGCCCTCCTTAAATCATACCGGTCCCAACACTTACTCTCCGGCCAAAGCACCTTCCTGTGACCATAAATAACTCAAGGAGCTCAAGAAGTATTACAATGTTAAGTACCTAAATGATGCATGCACTATATATATAGCCCTTCCTTGTCATGCACATCCTTGTGACAGTTTGCATATGGTTTAATTTTCTATTTCTTCAAACTGTAAAATCCTTGCAACAAACTAAATTATAATAAAACAAAACAAATAGGAGATGGAAAAATGCCAGGGTCAAAAGTCGTTCCCACTCCCACACTGGTTTCAGCAAAGAAATAAAAACTTAAAACATATAGGTCTATATTTAAAGAACTATTATAATATTAAAGTTCCACATTTTGAAAGGCATATATAAAATAAATCAACTTTATCATGATATTCCAAATATATGACCAACACCTTTATATGTTGGAAATTTTCAGATAGATGAAAAGCAACATGAACTCCTAAAGAAAAACCTATAAATCTAACTGTGTATCTGCACCAGTTAAGACTCAGGGACTACATCCTAGACAGCCAGAATAAAGCTCCCATGAGTCCAGACGACATCCTTAACATCTTCCCTGTGGTTAAACACATCAACACACCGGCTGTGGATGCATCTAGAGCTTTCCGTGCTGCACAGAATTACATTCAAAAGGGTATGTTTACAAGAAAAAAAAAAAAACTAACACTAATGAATGTATATGTCCAACAGATGCTTTTAAAAAAAAATGTTTCCATTTTGCCCTGTTCTGGCATGCAGGCCTGCTAGATCAGGCCCACGAACAGTTGAAGGAAGCAGCTTATCTGTACGGCCGGGTGTGTGATGATCTGGACCCTGAGGCGTGTTACTGCAACAGCCTTTTGGCCAAAGTGACCTACCTGCGGGGGAAAGCAGCTGAGGTAGGCTGACAACACTGCAACATTTCTGCTTCTGATTGCATGTTACAGGTATTTCATTTGCATTCTCCATTTAAACATAACTTTGTCTAATCAGCATAACATTACTTTTTGCCTTAATAAAGGTTTTCTAACCAGCTGCAAAATATTTTTACCTTGTGGCACATAAAAGCCAAATCAACCTGTCTTTTTGGCATTTCATGTCATGGACCAACACAAAGTAGTGATTATTTCAGATAAAATTAAAATGGCAGATTGTTTTTATATATATATATATATATATATATATATATATATATATATATATATATATATATATATATATATATATATATATATATATATATATATATATATATATATATATTTTACAAGTCCTAGTCCAAGGTTTCAGAGGTTTATTAGCAAAAATTGGAAAGAATCACGAAGACCAAGGAACACAACAGAGGTCAGGGATAAGGCTGTGGAGATGAGTATAGAAAAGTTAAGTCCCAAACAAAATTTTTGATATCTGACAGATAAGTGTGCTATCAATTATCTCAAAATAAATTCCTTTGAACTGGAAATATGCAAACCCAGCAAAAGATGGCTGTCAACACTAAATGGAAGGCCTCACAGAGAATCAACCAAAAGGCAGCCAAGAGCCCGAAGGTCACTCTGAAGGAGGTGCAGAGATTAACAGCTCAATCAATAGCAAGACTGTACAAATTAATGTTCACATCTCATATTTTCTGATCCTTAAAAAGCCCTACAGTCCTAAAAATTGGTGGGTTTTAGTTCCCAATTTAAAAACGCCCCCTTGTTTAAGCCCTTTGGACTCAAAATTCTAAATAAAAATTTAAATTTTCAGGGGGCGGGAAAACCTTTTTTTTGGGGCCCAAAAAAAATTTTTTTTTTTTAAAATTGCTTTTCCTTTTAAATTCCCACAAAACACACTACAGGGAAGGTTATTTAATAATAAAAAATAAAAAAAAAGTAGATAAAATTTCTTTGGTTTAATTTGACAAAGTGGGAAAGGGATTTTTCCAAAATTTTTAAAAACAATTTGGGGCCACTGCCCAAAGACTTACCCAGTTTTTTTCATGTTTTACTTGCTAAAACCACACCCGGATGAAAAATTTTTCCCGGGAGTGTTAATTACACAAAAACCCTAAAGGGTTAAAACCCTTCATTTGTCCGGGAAGGCTCGCATGTTAAAGTTAAAAACGTGGTTTAATCCATGAGAGGGGGGCCCTTGGTTTTTGCCCAGGGGCCAAACACCATCCCGCAAAAAACGGAGTACAACTCATTATGGGGATATTTTGGTTTAATTGGTTCTGGGGCTTTTTCAAATTTAAAAATCACCCTCTTTTTTTGTGGGATTTATAGGGCTTTTTAAAGTGTTTTTTGGCTTATGCTGGGGGGGGGAGACGACCCGGCCCCAGAAATGTTTTTCCGAAACCCCTGCTCCTAAGGTTTGACAGTCCATGGAAAAGACCCTCCGACCACCGAAACATTGGGATGTGGGGTAGAACAGTAAAATAATAAATGGAGGGAAAAAAAGGGTTTTTGGGCTAAGGGTTTCCTCTTGTATAATGTAGACCCGGCCTTGGGCCCTGGTGCGGCCAGGAAAACCAAACAGGACATTTTCTGAAAAAATTCCCCTAAAACCCTAACCCCTTTCCTTTTGGGCGCCAAAAATAAGCATACTGCCCTAAATGAAGGGTTGTCATTTATACCACACCGGGAAACATTTCTGTTTTGGGGAAATTTTTACGGGAACCGGGGTTAATTTGTTTTTTCTTTTTTTTTTTAAAGCTTAAGTAACCCTCCTTTTTTTTCTGTGCAGCCACCACCTGTTGGCCCAGTGGATGGGGCGGGTAAAGGGACCTACAGAATTTGGGGGGCCTTTACCCAAATGGGGGAAAAAGGCCCTCTTGCTTTAACAGCCGGGGGTTTGTTCCCCGCCCTGAAAAAGGGATTTTAATTTTTTGGGCGGGACCTGCTAAACCCTAAATTTCCCTCCCAAGTTGGGGGAAGAAGATCCCCAAAACCCAACAAAGGCTGCAGCAAAGATTTTTTGGGGGGAACCATAACCAACGGGGGGGGCAGTCAAATTTTAAAACCGAACTCTCGGGACCGGGCGGGGGAAGTGACTCTGTTATCAAAACCCTTTTGGGAGGTAAGGGGCCTCAAGCAGGAAATTTTTTAAACTTTCTTGTTTTAATGGGGAAAGCGTAAAAACCCCACATTTCAGATTGTTGTTTTTTTTCGTTTCAGGTCAGGCCCCCCACTGACAGTTTTAATTTCGGGAGAGCAAGGGTTTTTCTTGGAATTTACAGGGAAACGGGGGAGGTTTTCAAAAAGAAGGAAAACCTTTTACAAACCCCAACGGCCCTTGGAAATTGGTTTTAAAAATCGGGGGGAAAATTAAAAAACAAAAAAATTTTAACCTGGCCAACACTTTTAAAAAGGTTTTAAATTTTTTCCAAAACAAAATTCCCCTAATCATTAAGAAAGGAAACACAGGTTAAAGGAAAAAAAGGAAAGGTTAAAAGGGATACAGGAAAACATTTCCCGGATTTTTTAGACTAAGGAAAAAGGGGTTATTCGTTTAAAATAAATTTATTTAATTTTTTTTGTTTTGGGTCATTCTTTAAAGGGTTTTTTAAATTCAAAAAACAAATTTGAAAAACTCATGGGCCCCTAGAAAAAATAAAAATTTTTTTTTAAGGGGGGGTTTTTATTTTTTTAAATTTTTTGGGGGGGAAAAGTTTATTTTAACCCCTTTAGTAAAAAGGGAACTAACCCCACAGATTTTTTCTTTTTTTTAAACCCCCTTTGGAAAGAAACCCTAAACACCCAGTCCCTCAAGAATTTTAAAATAAAACCCCTTGGAGAAACCATTTTTGGGGGGTTTTAAAGGGGAAACCCTTTTCCTTACCTAAAAAGGCCAGATTTTTTTGGGATTGTTTTCTTTTTCCCAAATTGGGGGTTTTAATTTAAAATTATCCAACAATTATTTTTTGGACTTACTAAAAAAATATAGGGGGGGGGTTTTTGTAAATTAAAATTTTTAAAGGTCAATATTTAGAAAAAAAAATGAAACGGGTTTTAAAGGGGGAAACAATATATTTTTTTCCCCAAAATTGGGTGAACTTTTTAGAATTTAAAAAAAAACACCAAAAGGTTTCAATCGGGGCCCTACGCAAAATATAAAAAACATGAATCAAAAACACAAAAAGGGAAAGCTTTTCATCAGGCGAAAGGTTTCCACCACCCCCTGGTTGCGGGAGGTTTCCTCCCTGAAAAAGAAGGGATTTTTTTTTCCTCTCCCAAATATTTGTAGCAAACATGCATCCAGGATGCATGGGAAGTCCAGCAAATGTCAGCTGAAGCCACATGCTCATTCAGGACAAATGCATGCTGCAAAGACAATAACTCAATGCAATCAGCAGGGTTTTTCTTAGTAGAAACTTTGAATTAATCTGTCATATTTGGTTGAAATGATGCTGCCAAGTGCCTGGAGAGAACATGTGTTGTGAATTGGTACTATTTAAATAAATTAAGCTGAATTTAAATAAACAGTAACACAATAGAAAAAGATGCTTTTGATGTCTAACTCAAACTCAAATTGTTTCCACCTTAGATGTGAGCCAGATATATGAAAAGTATTACATAGTTTGTTTCTATTTAAATAACGGGTGCATTATGATCATAATCTTTAAAAGCAATACTTTAGGTTATAAATATTTAAAAATAAGAGATACCAATTTTTTTTTAAACTTCCTGTCTTTATAGTGACAGATTCCAGGAGTATAAGCAGAAACACCTGGAAAGAAAGGCTGCAGCAGCAAAGGAACTGGGATTCAAGCTCCCAATCTGGCCTCTTAACTCGCATCTTGTTAACAGAGAAGAGAAAAGCTCAGTAAAAGAGAGTGGAGTTGGGAAGGAATCTGGGGACGAAGGAAACAACGAAGGGAAGAAAGACTGTGAGGGCCAGCAGCAGCCGCTGGAGGACACGTCTGCTAAGAGCGATGCAGGCGTCTTAGCTAACGGTCACGTGGTGGAGCCAACTGAGCCACACAAACAGGCCAGGAAAGTTGATGTAGATGCTGACAGAGGAGTTACAGAAGCTGGGGTCCAGGCAGTGGATGAAGGGGAGATCCAGTCTGCCTCGGGGGTGAAAAATGGCACAATCGACAAGGACATCGACACAGTTCCCAGCCCATCAGCCCTTAATAGTAAACTGACCTGGGCAGATGTTGTTTCAAAATCCAACAACGGGGCAGGAAGCAAGGCAGTAAATGGAGTCAACAGTGTCACTGCCAATGGAGCAGCTGAAGAGTAAAAACACACCAAGCCTGTGGGGGCGAGTTTTCAAAGAGCCTGCTGTAAGAGGAACCCATCATTGGATTTAGATTGTAACTTGATCAAAACAATGGGGAGGTAGTATTAAGAAAGACGTTGAGTATTTCTTCATGTTTGAGATGTTTCACTGTCGCAGATGATCTAAGAAACTTGCATTTTTTGTTTGCATTCTTTTAGACAAAGTTTTTCAGTCTGCTGTAATAAACTTTTCTATTCATAACATAACTTGTTTATTGATGCTTTTTTTCTGACTAAAGGCAAGATGACAAAACAGCTAAATGTGAACAAAAGCCATTGTAGTACTGTTGTATGAAATAGAAAACAAAAGCCATTTTCTAACAGATTTTATAAACAAATCAAATCTCGGAGTTGCACTATTTGGGTCTCTTTTAATGACATCTTCCAGCAGAAAAAATACTCAGCAACTAAAAAACTTAAAATCATCATCTATGTAGTTTATTAGACCACAACCCCCGGCTTATCTTAAAAGTAAAAAAAAAAAAATTTATTTTGGTCCAGTTGGGTGTTATAGAGTGATGCTGTTTCACACAACATGGTTTATAACAGATATTTACCAGTCTGGATACATGCCTGACAACCATTTCATTTTGCAACATTTGCTGAAGACAAAGGCTATGGAACCCACATTGTCTTCATTTCGGTTAGATGGTCTAGTTTATTGGGTCCTTCTTAGTAAGAATGATGCTAAAATGTATGTTATAAACCAAAATTTAGGTTCTACAGCTCTGATATGTAGGCACCACCTTCTTTTAAGTCAGCTTCTGCAGAAAATGTCAACTGTCAGAACTTCACAGTATAGAAGTGTTGTTTGATACCACGCCTTCTAAGTAACATAATAATAAACAGGGAAGAAAAACTTCAAAGCAGACATTGATCGAGTTAACACAGACTATGTTAAATCAGATTGAAAGAGAGTAATAAATACTGTTCTTTTATCCAATAAGCCACAGAATAAAAGTCACTGTGATTCAGATCTGTGGAATTGGGCATAAAACAAAATTACATCAATGTTATATGTGAAAATACATCTGTTGTCATCTATCCTCCGTCTCTGGAGCGTCTGAGATGGATTTTTGTTTCAGAATAATCTCTAAATCTGAACAATGGTGGTACTGCGGTTCCGGTGACTCTGTCCAAGTAGACTGTGGAAGTTTGTTCAATCGGTCTGAAGGAAAAGTGATAACTGCTGTATCACTGAACACGTCTATCAGTCGGGAAGGACACGGCAGCAGTCTCTCTTCACACCAATCCACAACTTTGCTGATGTAGTTGTAATCCTGCCTCATTTCCCTCTCAATGGTCCTGGATGTAATAGGATAGAGAACATCACCTCAGCCACCATTTCCAAACCATCTAATTTCATTAATTCCTTGTACAAACCTCTCCCTGATTCCGCTGAAGCAATTTCCGATGATTGTTACCAGTGGCAAACAGCGTGGGCTCCAGTTCTTCCAAAGCAGGTTGTTGTATAGGGCTTTTCCACAGTGCATTAGATAAAAGAGGGTAGGCTTGGTGGCCAGGCGCTTCCCCTCCTTCACAGCATAACAAAATTAAGATGCGTTTTTTTTCTACTCAGGGGTTCATTAATTAAGCAGCAGTTTAATACTGTAAAAAAAATCTTGTCTAACAAAAAAAATACAAGCTAAATAAACTAAAAAGTTTTGATTTGATAGTGAAACTGTAACATACTGGATCCACTTTACGTATTAGAAGGCAATGCAGTAATCTTAAATGCCCATCTAACATTGTATCACAAACCTGAATGATCAAAACACATCGGCTGTCAACAACTTACCTCATTTTCTGTGAGTACGGTCAAACCTAGCCCTCTCAATACGTCCCTTTCTGCAGAGGAGAATGCAGGATCGTAAACAGAGCAATCCTTCAGGGGAATCTACAAAAGGAAAGGTATAAATACTGAAATCAAATACTGGATCTAAAATGTTAGATATAACAAAGGAAGAAGCTGACTCCCTCACCTCTCCTGCATCCAGCAGCAGCAGCAACATGGCAAGTTGGTAGCGGGCTAAGACACAAGAAGAAAAGGTGCCAAGGCCATAACACACACACTCCACATGTTGGCGTGCTGTCCTTCCCTCTGCATTCTTGTAATGATTGCCATCTGTCTCACTGTTGCCTGAAGATCTCCAATCAGGTGATGAAGTTGTCAGTAGAAGCTGATCTAGAGATAAAATATGATAAAAAGCTGCAAGGAAGTTCCTTCATAAGCAAAGCTATAGAGCCCTGCTGGAGAAGCTATACACAATAAATTATTTCACATTAAATTGTGGCTTTATAGGGTTTGTTATTTTATCATAAATACATTTATCATAATAATCTACTACTACTTCAGATTTTGCATTACATACTCTACAAGTCCCCTACAGGTTTATGGTTTTGTGAGATAAAACATGAAAAGGTTCAAGGGTTCTGTGGCCATGTAAATATTTAGATGGAGACCAAACTCACCTTTCCACTGCTGCCAAACCTCCTCAGCGCTTAGCTCGGAACTAAAGGAGACAAAATAAAAACCAGAGTTAAATGTGTGTAAGGGGGACTAAGCTGGGCTTAAAAACTAAGCTTGGTTTTGGTCTGATTTCATGTATTCTGTGGGATATTTACTGTATTTACTGGATTGCGGTTGAGCTTAATTTCTTACACCGTGTCTTTGATCCGTCTGATCAGTTTCTCCACATCCAGCTGTTCCTCAAGACATGCAGCGGAGGACGGACATTTTTTTTTAGATTTAAATTGTCTTGATGCCCCTTTTCCCCGTCGAACGACCCTCCACTCTTCTACTAAATCCGACATTTAAATTTAGACTACAAGGCACACATAAACGGGATTTTAATGAACATTTATCTTGTTAGCAGATGTGTGCTGAAAAGGTATTTCCATGGGGGAAGATTTTGAGAGCAACACACAGTTCTTCTTCCGGGGTCACGTGATCTCCAAACTAAAAGTGAAGCAGAAGTGAGAATAGCAATATTTCATTGTATTTTTATTCGAGTGTAAGCGAAAAGAAGTTACCCAGAATTTTCTCAAATAAGATTCCAAAAAGTAATTTGCTAAACGTATTTAGATCTGCTTGATTTGACTTAATTTGCAAAATTTGCAATGCATTTTTTTATGTGCAGGTTCTGGTGGTTAGATGTGAGAGTTTAGATAAATAACATGATTATAAAATAGATTCTACTTAAAAATTAAACATTACCAAATTCCTGCAGGTAATAGAATATTGCAACACACTTCCATTGACAGGATCAGATGCTCATATATAAATGTGCTTGGATACTAAATAACTGCCTAACTTATGAACGAAAACATAGCTTCATTTGTGAACAGAAAAGTGCTAAATCATTTTTGGAGAATGTAAATTCCAACTTCACTGTAATGCTAAATATTATAAGAGAGTTTTAAAAGCCATACCAATTTCTGTGATATCAATGGTTAGAGAAGATACTCGATACTCTGCAGTCTCCCCTGAACTGAGACAGCTTTACATTGATGGATCAAACTTCTGTGATTTCAAATGCACCAACAAGGTTAATAGGAATGCTTTAATAAAAGAATATTATCCTAACCCAGTTAAAAGAATGTACACACTGAAGGAGTTTGAAATAGAAAAAATTAAGAAAATAAGAAAAAACTATGTTACATTTCCTCTCCCACCTAAAGTGAAAGAGGTCAACTTCAAAATTTTGAATGAAATCTACCCAGTGAACGAATATCTGAGATTAAGATTTAATATTGATCGGAATAACTGCGTTTTTTGTGAAGAGAATGTGGAAACTTTAGAACATCTCTTTTTTTATTGTAATGCTGTGCAGCTTTTTTGGAAAGAGATGCAAAGCTGGCTACTATCCAAAGAAATTATATTGCCTTTGTCTGTGAAGTCTATTTTTTTTTGGTGTTTTTGTTGAAAATAAGAATGTAGACTTCATACTCAACACTCTTTTGTTATTTGGAAAGTTCTTCATTCACAAGTGCAGATACTTTAAGACCAAACCTTGTATGACTCATTGGAGAAATGAGCTGAATCTTTTCAGTAAATCTCTTAGACTTGTAGAAGAAAACAAAGCCCTTAAATTATTTTCTTTACTCGAAGCATTTAAATTAATTTGAAATGGCCCTGTGAAATTTATGTTTTTATTTTCATCTTATTTTAGTTTACAATCCTGTTGGATTAGTTTCATACTTTTTTTTATGTTGAACATGCTCAATCCATGTTAAAAAAAAAAAATCACAAGTGTGAATTTATTGTATGCCTTGTATGTTTATATTTACATTCATAAATAAAATAAAAAAAAATAAAAATAACACATTTTTGGAGAATGTAATATATATATATATATATATATATATATATATATATATATATATATATATATAAATTCTAACCTTTAGCTACTCCAATTACGTTTGTTGTCTACAGTAATTGGTGTAACACCAGTAAACCGGAAGTACTTGGATTTACTGAAACGAACGTTTTTGTTAGCTGAAGTGTTCCTATTTGCTATTTTCATAAAAAAATGTCTGTTACTCATCTCGGACAAGGACAATAATTAAAAATAATTTAAGGTGAGTACGGTAAAGCAAATAATTTAACGTTATCCGGTTATAAAACGTAACGTCCAGACGCATAGATTAGCTTTTGCTAGTTAATTTTAGCTTCACTTGTGATCGCCAAGTAGCAACAATACCGCTAGTCAGTTTTACTGACACTTATTTGTCTTTCTGTTAATAAATGTACTCATTATAAAACATTGTTTGTTTCCATCCTTATCGCAAAGCAGAAATTTTAAATAGTTTTTCTCCCAAGTTCTCAGTTTTAGGGCTCAGAGCGCCACAGGAAGTCATTCCTGGCCGCAAACTGTATAATTCATACCATTTCATTAATTATTTACTTATTTAATTTCTTCACTATGCGCAATAACATGGTCATGTACAATAATAGTCATTTTTGAGCAGCATTGTAAATACTCTTGGTCTATATAATGTAATCTTATTTATTCTTATCCTTATTTTTTTCATAAATCTGATTTTACACTGTTTATAGGGTGTAAAAGGGTGTAATTTTACTTATTTGTTTTTATTTTAGTATATTATATTTTATTTTGCTCTATTTTACTTAGAATCTTATTTTTCTCTCTTCTGTAAACGATTGCACTGCAAGAAAAGACTGTCTTTTTGACACACAATCCTATTTTTTATCCCAAAATGTAGATGTCAATGTCTCACCTTTACGGAAGGAGGGGGGAGGAGGAGGAGGCGGAAGGAGTGGAGTTGGAGAGCTTTGAGGTGACTGACTGGGATTTGGCCAATGAGTTCAACCCAGACCGCCGCAGGTTCAAGCAAACCAAGGAGCAGGCCACCTATGGCATCTGGGCTGACAGGGATTCTGATGAGGATGAGAGACCTAGCTTTGGTGGCAAGAGGTAGATTTGATGCATCTGTGCAGTTTTCTGATAGCTAAAAGAATCAGTGACTTTTTAATTTGTTCCACTAGGGTTATTCTCTTCCCATCTCATAAATGTTTGCACCTTTATGTTGGTGTATAAAACCGCTGTTAATTCTTTAGATGTCTATGGTTGTGACTGGAAGAAATGTGGGGGATTATTGGCAATCTTTAACGTTTAATAATGGTTGTTGCTTTTTCCCCCCAGGTCTAAAGACTACACCACCCCTGTCAGCTTTGTGAGCGCTGGTCTGCGAAAAACTGCAGCTGAGGAAAAACAGCAACAACAAGAAGTAGGTTCTGATGAATCTGATGATGATGCTCCTCCGGCGGCTCCTCCTCCTCCACGCACAGCAGCTCCCAGAAAACTTCAGATGGTGAATTAATTTCCTGTCTACATTTTTTTCAAGTTCCTAAACAAAAAACCAAAGCAAAAAAGAGTTACATAACCTTTAAAAAAATATTTTTATCCAGTCAAATTTTGGAGGAAATCAGTCCCAGAGGTTTGCAGGTGGCATACAGTCTGGTAAAGGCATCGGCAGCTGGGAGAAGTACACCAAGGGGATTGGACAAAAACTATTGCAGAAAATGGGATACCAGCCAGGAAAAGGCTTGGGGAAAAATGCTCAAGGTAGGTAGAAATCACAAGGATATAATCCTGAGGGGATTTATCTAGGAAACTTTAATATAAAGTCCTGTGTTGTTGCAGGCATCGTGAACCCCATTGAAGCAAAGGTTCGTAAGGGTAAAGGAGCAGTGGGTGCATATGGCAATGAGCGAACTACGCAGAGTCTTCAGGACTTTCCCGTGGTTGACTCAGAAGAAGAGGAGGAAAAGGTATATTACATATGTTGCATGTCACCATGGTGAAATCACCATTCACACCCGTTAAATTCTATCTTCTGTTGTTTTTATTACCAATATCATGAGACTGTAAAGCTTCTTTATTTTTTTTGTCGCTTTTCGTAGGAATTTAAAAAGGAATTAGGCCAGTGGCGGAAGGATCCTGCTGGGACTGCAGCAAAGAAGAAACCAAAGTATTCCTACAAAACTATAGATGAGCTGAAAGCTAAAGGTAAAGTGGCCTATCGGAGTACACCAGCCTCAGCGGGAGAACTGGCACAAGTCAAGGTTTGTTTCAGCTTCCAAAATTAACTCCTACTCAGAGTTATGGCTCTCACATAGTGATGTTGAATAAACTATACAAGGCCACATGCATACTTGTGTTTTGTATTGAAACATACTATTTTAGCCTTTTAAATGTAATTTTCCCACACCTTTCTCCTGGCTTAGGTCATAGATATGACTGGGCGAGAGCAGAAGGTTTACTACAGTTACAGTCAGATATCAAACAAACACAGCGTTCCGGATGAAGCCCCGCCGAGCATGGCCACCCGAGATCAGAAAGGTACTGGCTTTGCCCTCCCTGAGCTGGAGCACAACCTGCAGCTTCTTATAGACCTCACAGAGCAGGACATCTTACAGGTGAGGGGAAATGAAGAAACAATGGGTCTTCATAAAACTCAGATTAAACAGCCTCCGCATTGTTTTGGGAGCTTGATTTGTTTTCCCCATGCATGTTTTATAGTCTGCCAGGCGCTTGCAGCATGAAAAAGACGTGGTTGTTACTCTGAGGCACGAGTCGCAGGCATTGCAAAACCGACTGTCAATGGAGCAGGATGCCATCCAAAGAATGGAGGCCGTGCTGGCCTTAGTGGAGCGATTTCCTACGGAGGAAACGCCACCAGGCGAAGAGCCATCCCTACAGGTTTATACCATGATTATTCTCTCAGAGCCTCTATCGTTGGGCAGTTTGAGTTTAAGAGCTCCAACTAGGCATTCACTGATAGGAAAATTAAGCTTGATACCATATATCATATTAATATAAGTCAATAATCCCAATTGACCTTTTATATTTTTTATGTTCTTCCTACCATCTTAAAACCATGAAAAGATGATCACACCGCTGACATTTCCTCTCTGATTTGGTTAAAGAAAGACAGCCCTCACGCTGCGTGACATTCCAGTATGCCAAATTGCCAACCCCATACATACAAACCACAACAAGATGGGGAAAACGACTTCCCTTATTGGACTGATACTGATTGATCATAATAACATATCGTGAATCCCTGTTTTCAACCCTTTTCAAATAATTTTTTCCAGGAGTGTGCCCGGATATTCGAGACCCTGCAGACAGATTATTATGAAGAATACAAGACGATGGGATTGGGGGACCTGGCTGTCGCTGTTGTGCATCCATTACTGAAAGAGAAGCTCTCCTCATGGGATCCTCTGAAGGTTTTTCCCTTTACAATCTTCTTAGGTGATGAAGGTAGAGAATTATCGATTTTGGAAGCCGTGCCAACTAATTCGATTTTTTTATATATTTTTTTTTTTTCAGGACAGTTCGTACTGTTTGGAAGATATCGGCCAGTGGAGGGCAATTCTTGAATCCAG